GAATGAGATTTACAAAATGGCGGAAAGTTTGTTTGAAACGAGTGAACACGTATAAAATCTGCAGAGTCATCAGGCTTAAACCACTTGAAGAAAACTGACTAAACTTGCACAAATCGGTTTCAAATAAATTAAAATATGTTGTGAAGGTACTTTTAACACTCCCTTATCATCTGTTCTATTGTTTTTGTGGCATGGAATTTGAAGCAAAATGGTAAATTTTTGTGGTGCAAAATTAAATTCACGACCTATTTTAGCCAAAGCATCAAAGGTATTTCAAGACCTTTAAAATATAAATGAAAGCTGAAAAGTTAGTCACTTCATCATAGTAAATAGTTAATATACGTACCTGCCTAAATCCAAAAATCACTGTAAAAACATTTAGTGTTAGCAAGTGTTGGTAATAACATTAAAAAGTGTTAAGGTTTTGAAGTTCATATTATTCATATTTGTGTTTACTATAAAAAAACTATGGATTCTGAATGATTTGAATAAAAATATGGCTTTAATTATGAGTTCAGCACTGAAGAGGAGATAGTTTTCCTTATAAAAAGGCCTTGGGGGGGCCTTTATTAGGGGAGGGGCGTTTATTAGGAATTTTACGGTATGTAACACTGTTGGGTAGATAATGAACAGAAACTGAAAATTTCATATTATTTTCAAAGTGAAAGGGGCATTACTCTGCCAAAAACCATTGAACCATGACCAAATTCAAACTTGGCCTGGGCATTCCAAAAACATATCCATATGTCAAATTTGAGTTGAATGTGTTGTACCGTTGGGGAGATAATGAACAGAAACTGTAAATTTCATATTATTTTCAAAGTGAAAGGGGCATAACTCTGCCAAAAATGATTGAACCATGACCAAATTCAAACTTGGCCTGGGCATTCCAAAAACATATCCATATGTTAAATTTGAGTTGAATGTGTTGTACTGTTGGGGTGATAATAAACAGAAACTGAAAATTTCCTATAATTTTCAAAGTAAAAGGGGCATAACTCTGCCAAAAATCATCGAACCATGACCAAATTCAAACTTGGCCTGTATTTTCTCATGACATATCAATATGTCAAGTTTGAGTTGAATGTGTTGTACCGTTGGGGAGATAATGAACGGAAACTGAAAATTTCATATTATTTTCAAAGTAAAAGGGGCATAACTCTGCCAAAAATCATTGAACCATGACCAAATTCGAACTTGACCTGTATTTTCTCCTGACATATCCATATGTCAAGTTTGAGTTGAATGTGTTGTTACGTTGGGGAGATAATGAACGGAAACTAAAAATTTCATATTATTTTCAAAGTAAAAGGGGCATAACTCTGCAAAAAATCATCGAACCATGACCAAATTCCAACTTGGACCTGTATTTTCTCATGACATATCCACATGTCAAATTTGAGTTGAATGTGTGCAACCGTTACTAAGATAATGAACGGAAACTGATGATGACGGAATGACAGAATGACGGAAGGACGGAATGACGGAAGGACGGAACAGGGTAACACTATATGCCCCGGCCATTACATGGCGGGGGCATAAAAAACAAAGGGCCATAATTAAACAAAAAAATTATTCAATCACAAAACCTGGACAACATGCGCCAGGGCACTGGATGACAAAGCTACTGTGAAAGTTTGAACAAAATCTGTTGAGAAATGTAGGAGTTCAGCACAGAAGAATTTTTTCACTATATATTCTGTATAAGGAAAAAAAACAAAGGGCCATAATTAAGTCAAGTATTATCCAATCACAGAACCCAGATAATGTTCGCCAGGGTACTTGATAACAAAGCTTCTGTGAAAGTTTGGTCAAAATCTGTTGAGAAATGTAGGAGAAGTTGCGCATGGTAAAAATTTTTCACTATATAATCTGTATAAGGAAAAAAAAACAAAGGGCCATAATTAGGTCAAATATTATACAATCACAAAACCCTGACAATATGCCCCAAGGCACTTGATGACAAAGCCTCTGTGAAAGTTTGGTCAAATTCCGTTGAGAAATGTAGGAGGAGTTGCCCACAGAAAATTTTTCACTATATATCCTATATTGGGAAAAAAAAACAAAGGGCCATAATTAGGTCAAATATTATCCAATCACAAAACCCCGACAATATGCTCCAGGGCACTTGAGTACAAAGCCTCTGTGAAAGTTTGGTCAAAATCCATTGAGAAATGTAGGAACAGTTGGGCACAGAAGAAATTATTCACTATATATTCTTTATAAGGAAAAAAACAAAGGGCCATAATTAGGTCAAATATCATCCAATCACAAAACCCCGACAATATGCGCCAGGTCACTTGATGACAAAGCTTCTGTGAAAGTTTGGTCAAAATCCTTTGAAAAATGTAGGAGGAGTTGCGCACAGAAGAAATTGTTTACGCCCGCCCGTTTGCCCATCCGCCCGCCCGCCCGCCGACATACCTCAATCTAATAACCAGTTTTTTCCTTCGGAAAACCTGGTTAAAAATATTATCAACAAGTTTAAATAGTTCTATCATAATCAAATTGCAAAATAAAAACTGTGGTAAGTGTTGTTTTCTGTGGTGACTTTATTTCTGCGTATTCTGCAGTAAGAAATTAAAACTGCAGAATATTTCTCCATGTTTTGTTTTTTAACCCGTTATGCTATGTGTCCTACATTATGACCTGTGGCGTCTAAAGTAAAACGACTAACGGATTATAACGGTTGGGGGGTCATTGTGTTGTATGAAATTGCTGTGGGCTAATTATGAAATCTGTGTTTGCAAGGATGTACTTAATATTAATTATTTCAATTTATGAATAACTACTATCACTTAATGTGATTAATATCCCCGCAAGACTGCTTCGGAAAAGAGGATGTTGCTAGTAACAGAATACCTTGTAAAAGAATTGAAATAGAGTTATGGTTGTGGGCAATAAAAAATAGTTGTGGTTCTTGTATGCTGCATTTCCTTTCAGTGTGGTTGACCATAAATGAAGTTTTATTGAATTACTCTGTAATAAGTCCAGAAAGACAAGGAAAAGGACCAATGGGCAATAACTCTTTAAATACTGAAGATTAGTCCAAATAGAGTTATGGTCTATGCGAACTGCACTTCATCTCACTGCCCTTGACCATTGTATAAAGTTTCATTGAATTCCAACCATTAAGTTATGCACTGGACAATAAAAAGCAACAAAGGACAAAAGCTTTTAAATGAGTCAAGAGAGAGTTATGGTTTCTATGCACTGTGCTTCCTCTCAATATACTTTACCATTGTATGAAATAGTATTGAATTCCAACAAGTAGTTTTCAAGTTATGCTCTAGACAAGAAAAAGGCAATGGAAAAGTAACAAAGGGCAATAACTCTATAATTACTTTGGACAGAGTTATAGTTCTTGTGCACTGCACTTCCTCCTATTGTGCTTGACCATTGTATGAAGTTGTTTTGAATTCCAACAAGTACTTTACAAGTTATGCTCCGGACAAGGAAAAGTATCTCTGTAATTTGTCAAAATGGAGTTATGGTTCTTGTGCACTGCACTTCCTCTTAATGTGCTTGACAACTGTATGAAGTTGTATTGAAATCCAACCAGTAGTTTTTAAGTTATGCTCCGGACAAGGAAAAGTAACAAAGGGCAAAAACTCTGTAATTAGTCAAGATGGAGTTATGGTTCTTGTGCACTGCATTTCATCTCAATGTGCTTGACCATTTTATGAGGTTATATTGAATTCGAACTATTAGTCTTTAAGTAAATATGGTCCAGACAAAAGAAAGCAATGGAAAAGTACCAAAGGGCAATAACTCTGTAATTACTTTAGATAGAGTTAAGAAGTTGTTTTGAATTTCAACCAGTAGTTTTCAAGTTATGCTCCTGACAAGGAGAAGTAACAAAGGGCAATAACTCTGTAATTAGTCAAGATAGAGATATGGTTCTTGTGCACTGCACTTCCTCTCGATGTGCTTGACCATTTTATGAAGTTATATTGAATTCCAACCATTAGTTTTCAAGTTATGCTCGGGACAAGGAAAATGCAACAGACAGCTGGACCAACGGACCACCGGGTAACTCCTATATACACCCCCCCAAACTTCGTTTAGGGGGCATAAAGATATTTATACATCATATCCTCACCTTAGTGCAATTACTGATTAACTGCTATTAAATTTATTAGGACTTTTTCAGTTATTACACTCAGGCAACAATATATACCCGTTAGTAATATTTTTCACATGTCATTTCACGCTGATCAAAAGATGCATACTTTACTATTGTTGCACAATTTATTTGTTTGCACGTCGCCCCATGAGTATTAATTACAGTATTGCAGTGACAACAATAAACAAATGAGAATATGTTTATGCAAATGTTATAAGTAGAGTAATATGACTTAGACCTTGATGTATTTAAATGTTTGTTTTGAAATAAATTCAAATAAAGTCTGGCCAACCCTATCTCTTTTTATGCCACCGCAGCATCTGCGATGCGGTGGCATATAGCGATTCACCTGTGTGTGTGTTTGTTTGTGTGTGTGTGTGTGTGTTATATAGATTATAAAGTGAACTTAAAAAATCTTCTTCTGAAAAACCACTTGTCCAATTTCAACCAAACTTGGCAGGATTGATCCTTGGGTGAAGGGCTTCCAAAGTTGTCCAAAGAATTTCATTCCATGCAGAAATCTGGTTGCCATGGCAACCAAAAGGAATTATAAGAATAAATTTAAAAAATCTTCTTGTAAAGACCCAAAAGGCCTAGAGCTTAGATATTTTGCATAAGGCATTGTCTGTTAGACCTCTACCAAGATTGTTCAAATTATAACCCTGGGGTCAAAATCGGCCAAGCCCCGGGGGTCATTGATTTTCATTATATGTACATATAGTTAAAACTTAAAATAACTTCTTGTAAAGACCCAAAAGGCCTAAAGCTTAAATATTTTGCCTAAGGCATTGTCTGATAGACCATTACCAAGATTGTTCAAATTATAGCCCTGGGGTCAAAATCGGCCCCTGCCCCGGGGGTCATTGAATTTCACTATATATGTACATATAGTAAACACTTAAAATACCTTCTTGTAAAGACCCAAAAGGCCTAGAGCTTAGATATTTTGCATAAGGCATTGTCTGGTAGACCTCTATTCAGATTGTTCAAATTATAGCCCTGGGGTCAAAATCAGCCCTGCCCCGGGGGTCATTGGTTTTCCTTATATGTATATAGTAAAAACTTTATAGTAAAAAAATTTCTTCTAGCAATTGACAAATGCTAGAGGTTAGATATTTTGCATGAAACATTGTGAAGTGAACTTCTAGCAAGATTGTTCAAATTATAGCCCTGGGGTCAAAATTGCCCCTGCCCCGGGGGTCATTGATTTTCAATATATACATACATGTATAGTAAAAAATCAAAAAATCTTATTGTCTGAAGGTACAAGGCTTAGAGCTTGAATATTTGTTAAATGATATCATCTATAGGTACTCTACCAAAGTTGTTCAAATTTTGCCTCTTGTGTCAAAATTAGCCCCGCCCCGTGGGCCATAGGTTTTCCTTATATGTATATAGTAAAAACTTAAAAAATCATCTTCTCTAAATTTACAAAGGCTAGAGTTAAGATATTTTGCATGAAACATTATGTAGTGAACCTCTAGCAAGATTGTACACATTATAGCCCTGGGGTCAAAATTGGCCCCACCCCCAGGAGTCATTGATTTTCACTATGTACATATAGTAAAAAAATAAAAAATATTTTTGTCTGAAGGTACAAGGCATAGAGCTTTGATGTTTGCTATATAATATCATCTATGGGTTCTCTACTAAAGTTGTTTTAATTATGCCCCTAGTGTTAAAATTGGCCCTGCCCAGGGGCAGTGATTCTCATTATGTTCACATAGTAAAAACAGAAAATAAAACAAATCTTTTCTGAATGGGAGAAAGCTACAGCTTAGATATTTGACTTGAAATGTTGTTTGGTGGACCTGTATCAAGATTGTTTTGAATTAAGCCCTTGGGTCCAAAATTTTGCCTTGCCCAAGGGGACAGTGACCTACTTTCTTGTCCTTTGATGTACAGCAATGAAATTTTGACCATGTGCACAGTTTTAGTTGTAAAATTGAACTTTAATATCAGGTGACCTAGATTTTGATGATGTGACCTACTTTCTTGTCCTTTTATGTACAGCTATAAAATTTGAACCATGTGTACAGATTAAGATGTTAAGTGAACTTTGATTTCAGCTGACCTAGATTTTGACAAAGTGTCTTACTGTGTTGTCCTTTGATGTAGTCATGAAATTTAGGCTGTGTGAAATATGACCATCAAATTCACTAGACTCAAGTGCATTGATATATTCCTACTCTGATCTTTTATTGAGTTAACAACAGATTTAACCACTAATCTGATAATAAGAATTAGATAGGTCAGGGATCTATGCATTATGACAATCTTCAAAATTGTATAGAAACAAAAAAAATCTGTTCCTACACTACTATTTAGTGTTGTATTAATGCGGTGGCATAGCATTTTTCTCAAATGCAATCTTGTTTTTTGTCCATCTTTTTACCTCAGTAAGCTCTAATTCATAAGATATAATTTATCTCTGCTATGGTGATATCTGTGATAACAAAATAATCTGTACGAAAAGTAAACTTTATTGCAGTTGCACCATGACCATGGCGACATCTTATGATAAGATGAGCTGCAGAATTTGAATAATGTTTTGTCCAAAGAATGTGCCACAGAAATAAAGACAGCAGAAATAACAAGAGCTGTCGGTAGGACAGCAACACTCGACTATTCTTAGTGCTTGATTGTAAAAAAAATGCTTGATACAGTTACCTCCTCCTGTCTACAGGTTGGGGTCATGATGGTGAACAAGAGTGCAAAGTTTCAAAGCCATATGTCAATGGACTTTGAAAATATTTGAACTATTACAAAAACTTTAACGTAAATTCTAAGTCGAAAAAGGGGCATAATTCTGTCAAAATGCTTGATACAGTTACCTCCTCCTGTTTACAGGTTGGGGTCATGATGGTGAACAAGTGTGTAAAGTTTCAAAGCCATATGTCAATGGACTTTGAAAATATTTGAACTATTACAAAAACTTTAACGTAAATTCTGAGACGAAAAAGGGGCATAATTCTGTCAAAATGCTTGATAGAGTTACCTCCTCCTGTCTACAGGTTGGGGTCATGATGGTGAACAAGTGTGCAAAGTTTCAAAGCCATATGTCAATGGACTTTGAAGATATTTGAACTATTACAAAAACTTTAACATAAGAGGTTACGCCGACGCCGACGCTCGGGTGACTACAATAGCTCTACTTATTCTTATCGAATAGTCGAGCTAAAAACATGCCACAATTGGGAAAAACAGCAGAATTTGGAGCCCGCAGAAACCAGAACTATCGCTGAAGGCGATTCATATCCCGACCAATGTCCTTGACAGAAGACGACTTGGAAAGGTTGTTAAGAGAATAACTTTAGTGGCACAAATACATATACATAAAAAGAAATTATCTCTGGTGGGAAAAAAACAAATTGTACAGGTAATAGTATAAATATATATTGTCAAATCATGTTCAAAACAGTTACAAATAACCTTTCATTTTCTCATTGTACTAAAACAAACAAAAGTAGTGAAGTTAAGAAAATACCATAATTATGTCAAAATGTAATTAAGAGTGGAAAAACTTTGCATACTGAGCTTACTTGTTACCCTTCCTATATCATATAATTTCAAGTGAATATCTGTTCTAGTTTCAGAAACATTTAATTATTAATGGTTATATCAAAACATTTTCTAAGTCTAAAAGGGGCATAACTTATGTGTCATAATTCAATGGAATTGTATTTTTGTAATCTGAGCTTGCTTGTAACCATTCATATTAATTTTAAGTTTCAAGTAAATATTTGTTCTGGTATAATAAATTATTGTTCATATTTGTCATCATTATTTTCTTGAAAAATATGAGCTTTATTATTGGACATGCTATCTTGCTTAAACTTCTGCATAATGGGGTGCTTGGGAGCTTATTATAAGGAAGGGGTATATTTCAGAAGCAATACAAATTAATTTACCAAAATGTATGTAACTTTAAATTAAGACATTTCTTTAAGTGTAGACAAAAGTAATAAAGCATAAAATATTATCAATATGATTTAAATAGTTATCTATCATAATTAAATTACAAAACAAATAGTAATTTTTTGGCAATCAAGACAAAGGTTTTATACAAATTAAGAACACCTTAACATTTTGATGCCAAAATTAAATTCATCTTATTTTAAATCTGAAACAATAACACAGAGCTATCTATAGTGCCTTTCAACTTAATCTTTAATCTAAAACAGTGGATGAAAGAAAATCAATGCACAAGTCTTAATTAAAGTTGTAACATTTTTGTGAAAAAGGATAATTACCAGGAGTAATGGTAAGTGAATATTAATTAAAATCTTTTTTAACAGAAATCTTTTTGAAATGTTAAAATCAATAATAATAAATCATTATATTCTTCAATTTTGACATATCATTAAAGGAGCTCCAATGTGGTCTTAAAGCCTAAAATATAAAATTTAGAATTCTTAAATACATCAAGTGAAGCACTTGAAATTAAAATATTTGCAAAGGATAATAAAGAATATCGAGAATTAAGCTAATTTTTTTTGTTTGTGTGATTATAAGCATGATTGTAACTCTTAAAATACAAATATTAATTTTGGTAAATAAGGGAATAATCTGAAAATATGAAAACAAGTTATTGGTCTAAACCTACATCAAATGGTACAAAAATTTCTGAAAAATATCTGTAGTCATGTCAAAAGCCTCAGTGGAGTACCTTTAATATCCATCAAAATTGATACTCTGTCCCTTTAATATTTTTCAAAACAAATACTCTATCAAAATTTCAGGAGAGGATTAATCATTACTGAAATATTGGCAATAAAATGTCTAAATCACGGTATAATACAATAACAAAAGATGACAAAAGTTTTTTCCCTTTTCTATTCAGATTAATTCACTACCGAGCTCTCCATTGAACACTTTAACAATACTACACAGTCATGAGCACAGTCCTTCAACTAACAAATAATTCAACAAAACACTGTAAGCAAGAGAAAAAACATCAAGACAGAGTTTCAAAATAACCTGGACACAAGAATCAACTGGAAAGTCAGGTAAAATTAATTTGTAACAAGTATGGGAGCAGGTATACAATCAACAGCAAGACAGAGTAATAAAAGCAGAAACAAGCCTCTTGTTGTTGTAGCCATAGATTTTGGAACAGTCCATTCCGGGTTTGCATATTCCTATAAGGGAAATGAAAACAACATAAAGTCAGCAGAACATGGAGGAATGCTGCAGGAAGATAGAGTACCTACAATATTGTTATTGAATCCAGACAAAACATTCCATTCATTTGGATACAAAGCACAGACTGATTTTCATGAGCTTTCTAATCGTGACAGATCCAAATTTTACTACTTTGAAAACTTTAAAATGAAAATATATCAAGAAAGTAAATTTGAAAGAAAAATGGTAGTTAAAGATATTTCTGGTAAACCACTTGAAGCTATGACAGTTTTTTCAATAGCAATAAAACATCTAAAAGATGAAGCATCACAAATAGTTTGTCAATCAATACTTCAACTGAAAGAAACTGACATTCATTGGATGATAACAATTCCAGCAATTTCGTCTGACTCGGCAAGTCAGTTTATGAGAGAAGCTTCAACAAAAGCAGGAATTCCAGAGACACATCTTCGACTTGTCCTTGAGCCTGAAGCAGCAGCTTTATACAGTACACCACGAATAATGACAGAAGCAATACCGTGTGGGTATATGTACATACTTGCTGATTTAGGTGGAGGGACAACAGACATATGTGCTCATAAAATAATAGATGGTGGTAAAATACAAGAGATATACCGAACAACAGGAGAAACCTCTGGTGGCAGTGATGTTGATGATTGTTTTATTAACATGATTAAAACTTTAATAGGAGAAGAGGTTTGGGATGAATTCTCAACTACCCACCCATCAGCATGTGTAAGCCTTGTTAATGAGTTTAGATTGAAGAAAAAAGAGTTTAAATCACAAACAAATAATATACAATTGAGAATGGAAAATGCTTCGGTGCTTCTCATAAGAGGGAGAAAAAAGAACTTGAATCATATAGTTAAAAAGTCAAAATATGCCAGTAAACTTGAGTATAATTATATTGAAGATAGACTTACACTCAACAGAGAGATCCTGGAAGAATTATTCAAGCCATCAGTTGATAAAATCATCAGCAAGTTGGTTGAAGTACTAGACAAATGTGATGACAATGAAATGAAAACAATTATTTTAGTTGGAGGATACAGTGAATCTCCCTATGTAAGGGAGAGAATTCAATCATCATTCTGTAACATGAGAGTTATCCTTGTAGATGATGCTAGACTGGCTGTGTTAAATGGGGCAGTGATGATGGGCTGGAAACCTAAAAACATACAACGAAGGTCCAGATACACTTATGGATTTGCGTTTCAATATCCATTCAGAGAGGGAAAAGATCCAGAAAAACTTAGGATTAATATTGATGGGGACAATTATTGTGACTTGATATTTCGGAAGATGATAGAAAAAGGTCAGATAGTGGAGTATGGACAGACATTTATATCTGGAGGGTATGAAACAGCCACTACAGTAGAAGAAAAACGTGAAGAGCTATATGTACATCTATATAGATCTACCCGTGAAGATCCTCATTACTGTATAGAGGAGGAGGACTGTAGCTTAGTAGGAACAATAAGAATTATACCACCATCAGGGGGATGGCCAGATGAGTGGGAACATGATCTACACCTTATTGTTGGTGAGACTGAGTTAACTGTGAAGGATTTGAATCCTAAAACAGGACAAGAATATGAAGCACATATGGATTTTCTGTAATTAAAAACAGAAGGGACCTAAAGATAGAGATTGATAAACAATTGTTTATTACTTTCATTTCTTAAAATGGTCATATCTTTCACAGGAAAACAGTAGAAGTGATGAAGTAACTAAATTATCTCTTAAATGACCATTTTAACATAACAAGATAGTGATGTTGAAATGGATATTGCAAATGAATTTATTTTTTTCTCACAAGTACAGTGTTATATTTTTATTACAGTGTTATATTTTTACTTGTAAAGTGTTATGGAAGTAAAGAACAATACAATAAATTTACCTCAGACACAGTTATTGTTTTCTTTAATACTTCATTGTGATATTTCAGTTATCTACCAAGAAACAAGCCATACAAGACTTGCTAATGTAAAGAAGAGTTAAATGAGCAGATTTTTTTCTTTCCAAACTTTCCTCCCTAGAGAATGAGATTGCCCTAAATAAGTACAGAAAAGAAGTGTAATTGTAATTTACCATTTTATTGTATCTTCAAAAAAGAAATTATTTACACACAAACTCTTAGTCAGTCATGGCTAGTCTCTGGCAAAAGAGGACAAAAATTTGAGTGGTAATATTAGACAACAGGTCAGGGCAAATTACAGAATGGTATATAATAAAGACCAGGGAGGAGGGTGGTGTTGCAGAATTTTGGTTCTTCAGGCTCTTCAGAATTACAGTACAGTACAGCTGGGATTGAACTCATAATCCCTGTCTTTCCCTAGATGTCATTATCTGATCACTCCTGTGAAGTTTGGTTGTAATCTCACCAGCAGTTTGACCTATGAAAGCCAGACAAGATTTTTCAATTTTTTTCTGGCAGGAAGCGGAACGTGCTGGCGATGTGCAAAACTAGGGATGGTTCTGATCACTCCTATGAATGTCAATTGAAATTCCACCAGCAGTTTTACCATTGAAAGCCAGACAAGATTTGTTCTATTTTTTGCTCTGGGGCCATTTTACGCAGCAAAGCGGAATGTGCTGGCAAAGAACACAACTAGGAATGGTACTGATCAATTCTGTAAAGTGTTGTTGAAATCCCATCAGTAGTTTGACCTGTGAAAGCCAGACAAGATCAATGTGGATAGACTGACGGACTGACAACCAGACGGATGGATGGACAGGCTGACGGACAGACGGCAAAGGCAAAAACAATGTTTCCTATCAAAAATTCGAGACGTAGTTATATATGGATATTATTGGCAAGCGTGAGATACATGGTCTACTAGTAAATTAACATATATTATATCGCAGATAATAAAAGTGTTCTAGAACTAAATACTTCTCATCGTATAAATGTTCATATTAAATCACTTATAAAACTTATGCAATACTTGATAAAAGTTGTGTCTGCAATACATGTGTGTCTGTCTGTTCACTGAATAGGATCTATTTAAATTTAATTAAAATGAAAACAACTTCTTCATATTATACATTTTCATCTTTATTTTGTAAAGTTATTACAATTTTGATTTACAAAATATATAAAGAAACATTTAATTAATGAGCATAAGATATTTAAGTTAACACATATAATTCAAGTAAAATACATAATTATTTCTAACAATATTGAATTATAAAACTCTGTTGTCCAAAAAAAATTATCAAGCAGCAAATTAAAATTAAGTAATAATTAAGTAATAATTAGGTGCAATAATTATAAACTTCCGTGTTCACAGTTTTGAATATTTCTTATATTCCCTCCTAGCAACTGTCCGTCTATGAACTTGATCTGGGCCGTCAGCAATTCTGATAACTCTGGCTTTTGCATAAAAATGAGCAAGGGGTGTGTCTGCACTCATACCCATCCCTCCAAAACTCTACAAAAATAAAAATAATCGTTGTTTTTATTTTTCCTTTTAATAAAAGTAACGTCCATTCCAGTTTTAAAGATTGTGACTGGTAACTAAATGGAACAGAAATAAATGATGGAACAGAAATAAATGATTTCTAAATGCAAATCCCAATGTTTTAAGCTTAAATACTAACATTTATAAACTCAGTTATAGTTATTGTTAAGGAACTTTGACAAATCAACAGTAATTCAAAATCTGAATTTAACAAGAGCATCACATGCAGTGATAAGCAAGAATTTCAAATTTCATGTTGATAACTTTTATAAAATGATTGAATAATGGGCTAAATTACAGTTTTTGCATGACAACGACGCAGCAGTGATCATAATAGCTCGACTCTTTCTTCGAAACTGACAAGCTAAAAATGAAAGACAATATTTTATAAAAGTACTATATAATTAACTCTCACCTAAATCTTTTTTTTTTGTCTAATTTCTCTTCAAATGTAATACTTTGTTAGTCTTCACAGTAACGAAAAAAATGCCTCGATCCAGCGACAAAATTATATATTTTTTTGACATATAAGAACAAAATTTTAAGAAAATAACACTTTTGTTAACAATTCTGACAGGGACTTGGGATTCATTCATGTGAGGAAGCTATCCAGCTACCTTATGGACATTGGGTCGGTGGTTGTACTTCGGTGCCTGTTCATGCCTGAAATAATGCATGGAAGGGCAACTACTGTCTTCCTCAACCATTAAAGTCACCATAATCACCTATATTGTGTTGGTGCCATGTAAAACCCAACCAAAATAAACAAGAGGGCCATGATGGCCCTGAGGTCGCTCACCTGTATATAAGCCCCCGGAGCGGGGCCAGTTTAAACCCCAGGGCTTTTATTTGAGCAAACTTGGAAGACACCAATTAGAAGATGTTTCATGATGTTAAGTTTTTACTACACACATATAATGAAAAACAATGACCTCCGCCCCCCCCCCCCCCTTTGGCAGGGCCAATTTAAACCCAAAGGCTTTTATTTGGACAAACTTGGTAGACACCAACAAAAAGATGTTTCCTGCTTAAAATCTAACCTCTAGATCATTGGGTTTTTTAAAAGAAGATTTTTTAAGTTTCTACTATACACATATAGTTTAAAACAATGACACCTCTGGGGCGGGGCCAGTTTTAACCCCAGGGCTTTTATTTGAACAAACTTTGTGGACACTTACTAGAAGATGTTTCATTCTTAATATCTAAACTCTAGCTATTTGGGTTTTTTCAAAGAAGATTTTTAAGTTTTTGCCATACACATATAAGGAAAATCAATGACCCCTGGGGCGGGGCCAATTTTGACCCCGTGGCTTATATTTGAACAAACTTTGTAGACACCCATTAGAACATGTTTCATGCTAAATATCTTAGCTCTAGCTCTTTGGGTTCTTTAAAAGAATTTTTTTTTAAGTTTTTACTATATGCATATAGGGAAAATCAATGACCCCCTGGGGCGGGGCCAATTTTGACCCCAGGGCTTTTATTTGAACAAACTTGGTAGACACTCACTAGAAGATGTTTCATGCTTAATATCTAAACTCTAGCTATTTGGGTTTTTTCAAAGAAGATTTTTTAAGTTTTTGCTATACACATATAAGGAAAATCAATGACCCCCGGGCGGGGCCAATTTTGACCCCAGAGCTTTTATTTGAACAAACTTTGTAGACACCCATTAGAACATGTTTCATGCTAAATATCTTAGCTCTAGCTCTTTGGGTTCTTTAAAAGAAGATTTTTAAAGTTTTTACTATATGCATATAGGGAAAATCAATGACCCCCTGGGGCGGGGCCAATTTTGACCCCAGGGCTTTTATTTGAACAAACTTTGTAGACACTCACTAGAAGATGTTTCATGCTTAATATCTAAACTCTAGCTATTTGGGTTTTTTCAAAGAAGATTTTTTAAGTTTTTGCTATACACATATAAGGAAAATCAATGACCCCCGGGGCGGGGCCAATTTTGACCCCAGGGCTTTTATTTGAACAAACTTTGTAGACACCCATTAGAACATGTTTCATGCTAAATATCTTAGCTCTAGCTCTTTGGGTTCTTTAAAAGAAGATTTTTTAAGTTTTTACTATATGCATATAGGGAAAATCAATGACCCCCTGGGGCGGGGCCAATTTTGACCCCAGGGCTATTATTTGAACAAACTTGGTAGACACCCATTAGAAGATGTTTCATGCTAAATATCTTAGCTCTAGCTCTATGGGTTCTTTAAAAGAAGATTTTTTAAGTTTTTACTATATGCATATAGGGAAAATCAATGACCCCCTGGGGCGGGGCCAATTTTGACCCCAGGGCTTTTATTTGAACAAACTTGGTAGACACTCACTAGAAGATGTTTCATGCCAAATATCTAAGCTCTAGCTCTTTGGGTTTTTTAAAAGAAGATATTTAAAGTTTTTTCTTTGTTTGTTCTGCATGGAATTAAATTCTTTGAACAATTTTTAAAGGTGACCACCAAAGGAACATTCCTGTGAAGTTTGGATGAAATTGGCTTAGTGGTTTATGAGGAGATGTCATTTAAAGTAAAAGTTTACGGACGGACGGATTAGGACGACGGACGGAAGCCGGCCGGACGCCGGACGAAAAGCGATCACAAAAGCTCACCCTGTCACTTTGTGACAGATGAGCTAAACACAAAACACTAAACATGTAAACACAAATGAAGCATGTTCTCTTTTTAGTAATTCTATCTATGAGTCTTGCTAAGCTCACAAGATATCTAATACACGTATACCATGTTTTCTAGCTTTTTCAAATATTAGACCACTGACTTTGGCACCGTCTTATAGGTAAGTATATACATATGTATATAACTATTTTTATCATTCAAGGCCTGCGACATCTTTAGTCATGTGACCTTCTCTTGATCTTGGATAAATTAGTTTAGTTTAAATTATCAAACTTTATCATTAACCAGCATGGTTTACTGTTATTAGTTTAGTGAAGTATATATTTTGTCTTATATAACACATACTTGATGGTTCAGAATCGAACAAGCAAAACTGGTTGTTTTATCAAACTTTTACTTTGTAATATTGCTTTTAATACACCGTATCTAAACTAAGATTGTTTCTTTAAATTTCTACCTATATAAGTGCAAGGCTGACCAAAGGGAAACTCTGAGTACAAGTATATTATATGAAAGGCACCTAAAAAGTGCAGTGTCAGATAAATGGCCCATTGGGGGGGGGGGGGAATAAACTGTGTACAAAAAAAACTTTAATCCTTCTTTGTAGAGAAAGAAAAATATAAGGGTCTAGCCTGTAGTTTTTATCCGAAGGTCATAGATCCAAGTCCCGTCAGAGATGAGATTCTCTCAGTTTCCTCTATCTATAATGGTGTGATAGCTAGTTAAGAAACTCTGGAAGCATTCAACCGGTGCCAACTAAAAATACCATGAGTGTTTACCCTCGAAAAAGGGTGACTCATTAATGAAAATCCGAACAAAACAGCAAAGCAGTCGAAAATTGGTGATCTTTTCACATTTTCATAATATATCTGTAAATATTTATTACAATGGCAGCTTACAAATGTAAATGTGCCATTGTATTTAAAATACAAAACTTAAGCAGTAATTAAATTGTATTGTAAATTTTTTATTAATGTATTATATCAAAGGGTGAGAAAATTGTGCAGCCTGATTGGGACACAACCACAGGTCCTTAGCAATACCATTCCATGGCTCTACCAGCTGAGCTATCTAGCCACTTACACATCTTCTCCCCCATTAGTGAACACAGTTCTATACTGAGATAATTACATTAATTCTGTATCCCAGTACAACCGTTTTTTCGGCAACTTAACAATATATCAATATATTAACTATTATTTATGTTGAAGAAAATAATGTCACCTTAGTGCAGTAACAGGTAAAGTCCTTCTAAATTTAATAAGAGTTAACCAGTTATTGCACTAAAGTGATGATAATTACATGTATTTTTCACAAATATTATAAAAGTGTCTTCATGATTATATTCTATGTACAAGATGAACAAAAAAAATCATCTTCTGCTTTGTATAAAAATGTATATTTAATTACAAAATCACAAGAAAAAGTTTAAAAATCAATTTTCATTTTATTTATATTATGCATCAAATAGCACTATCAGCTGATCACAGAATATAAAGAATGCACTTCATTCAAAATGTATAAATTTATATGCAAACAAAATTTAATTAATTGAACACCTCTATTATAAAACAGGAGAAAGAATTCCTGTAACAACTTGGTTTTCTCATTTGTTTCATAATTCATCAGACAATTAGTATCCTAAAAATTATAATCGTAGAACAATAATTGTTGACATTTGTTGAGGAAGGTTTAACATGGGATAAAAAAAATGTCCCAGGTTCATCCATTATATAAATAAAGATCAATTAAATGGGTTTGAGATGAAAAAATTTACCTGAAATGATAAAATGGTCAAGTGAATCAAATATATCATTGATAGCACCTTTAAACTGATCGTTTTTTATATAACATAAATAGCTAAATCTTTAATGTAAACAGTTATGTTTATGAAACTTTACATGTCTAGCCATTGACCCTAAATTATGTTTCATTAACTCCAAATAATATTTCACATTTAAAAGTGTAAAGCAGAATAAAATCCATCACTCATTATTCAGAGGGGTTAAACAAGTTGATCTCTGTAACTTAGATGCTTGTTTACATTCAAAGAAGATATAACAAGCACATCTCTATAACAAAGAAGCTTTTTTTTTTGTATTCTTTAGTTACACAAGATGGTCTCTGTAACTCAGAACAAAGAAGCTTGTTTGCCTTCAGAAGAGTTAAACAAGATGATCTCTGTAACTTTGAAGCTTGTTTATATTCAAAGTATGTCAAACGTGCTGATCTCTATAACTTAGAAGCTTGTTTGTACTCTCTTCTTGCTACTGCACGCAAATGAACCTCGTCTGGACCGTCTGCTAGGCGTAAAACCCTTGCCCATGCGTAAAAACTTGCTAGAGGTAAATCGTCATGCAGCCCCGCTCCACCATGCGCCTGTCAGGGGTAAATAAATTCATGGGTAAATAAAGGGTAAGTGTTACACAATATTGTGAAATATAACATGTTTCTGCATTATATTAGGAATATTACACTTAACAAAAAGTTAATGAATGTCTTCAAAGAGTAAAATGAAACTAGAATTTATTGACAAAATACTGGTTTTTCAGAACAGGTAAAAATTTGCTGTAGAGGTGGACATTCACACAGGTTTGAATGTATCAGTAAGTCAATGTAGCACCCTCTTAAGTCATTACCACATGCATTATGATTACATTTGCACGAAACCATGCCTCATCCATGATATAGCCAAACCTGTGCCTATAAACCACCCTCTATTCTTGTTTGTTTGTTTGATTCAGAGCCAAAAATTAGAAAAAATCCAAACCTAATCAAAGAAAACTCAACATTGTCACATTAGTGCAATAACTGATTACCTCCTATTTAATTTAGAAGAACTTAACCCATTATTGCACTAAGTTGACAATTTATGTACAGACTGAATAGCAAACATTGCAAACCATGATCAGACGGCACAGATGTGCCTGCTAATCTTGGTTTGCACTGGTCACATGGGTCGACGCAGAAGCCTCCAACATGGTAATTGTTAACTTCTAATCATGACGCAAATTGTGTCAAGGAAACTACATACATTGCACCCATAGATTAAACTCTTAAACCCAATTTTCATATACAATATGTACCTAATGTACTACCTACCAAGCAAACTGGGCAAACACAGCTAAGAAATATCACCCCCTCAAGGATTTTGATTTTTTCCGATTTCTCATTTAAATTAGCATAATTACCTGTCTGAAAAAACCAATTGTCATCAATCGCCTTATTTTTTCAAGTTTTTTCATATATTGCATGATTTTAATGACAAAATAACATCATAATTATAGTATTCTATCAGCTGTTTTAACAGGTATATTTTTTTATAAAATTCTAAATTCTGTTTCACAATATTGTGTATGGATACCAATAAAAAAATTCCAAATACTGTAAAATCATATTTCAACACACCCTCGTTTGACCATGATATGACACCCTTCACTAGTTTGAATTTTATACAAATACAAATCTACTTGTTCAAACCTCTATGTTGTCCAAAATTTTGTTGATGTTTAAAATATCACTATCATAAGAAAACAAAATGCATTCTCTCATAACAATCTTCTAACAAGACTTTGGGACATAAACATAATTATATGGTGTTGTACTATGGACAGAGTCAAATCTAGGACACCTGAAAACCTTTTTAAATGACAGACAAATAGGTGAATTCAATTTATGAAATGTATAAATTTATAGCTGAATTCATTTAAATATCAACCACTTTTTCAGACTTAAATCAAGCCCAAATTAGACAGAATTCAACCCATAACATACCCCTATGATTTCACAGTATTTTGAAATTTTTCATATATTATGATGGGTAAAGACCAGCTTCAAATAATGCTTATTTGCAAAATTGCTAACTTACAAAATATGCCTGCAATGTTGCCAAAAGTTATGAGGCTACACTCTTTTTCCCTTAACAAAAATTTTCATATACATGTATACTTTGATAACTCACTTAAAAAAACAGTTTTCATTACCTTCAATAAAATTTTCACTCTGTCTTTGAAGAATAATAAATATATGAGAATACTGCTAATGTAGCTTTAAATTTCATACCCTGTCTTACTAGTATTACGTCTTAATGGTGAGTTAATACAGTATGTTCCTTTATATTTATAGACCACACGGTTATTATAGTATATCATGTATATCAATATAGCTTTACTCGAACTAACTACAACAATGGTAATTTTATATGAAGTGAAAAAGAAATGTTGCTGATGTTTTGTTGTTGTTGTTTTTGTTTCTTTTATTTTTTAGGGTTTTTTTTATCCAGGGAAAAAAGATGGCATATTTCCAACTGGATTTTAATTGTTTGTTCATAAAAAAGCGCAAAATATTGCTGACCTTAAGGCCAAAGTTGTTTGAATGAAAAAAAAAATCAAAAAAAATCATGGCAAACAAGCATTATTCAGTAAGCTAGCCTTTCTCGTGCATATATATTCATTTTTCCAAATATTTTGTGCACCAAAGGGAAAGACATACCTGTATAGCTCTGTCAATCACTCGTAGTGCCATATTTGGTGCAGCAACTTTGATCATTGCAATTTCATTGGCTGCAACCTAAAATATAACAAACACAATTTTTTTTATTAAGACATGGTAAAATAAAGAAAAGTTTTTTTTCCCTATTTATCTATAATAATGTTAAAGTAGATAAATAACATCTTGTACATTGACATTTCCTACATAGGCTTACATTTCAACATATTCTTTCATAAATTTATAAAAAAAACCATCTATTTTACATTTTCATCATTTTCTATATAAATTTACAAAAAAACAATCTATTTTATCATACAAAATCACACAACTTCTTTACCATTTTTTTTTTACCTCAATTGACCTTCACCTTTCACCTGACCTTGACCTACCTTGTTACCAAAGTGATCCATCATATGTGCAGCTTTAAGCACCATTAACCTTGTTTGTTCAATTTCTATTCTAGACTGTGCGACGTCTGCCTGAATGGTTCCCTGTGCCGCTAAGGGCTTCCCAAAAGCAACTCTGTTCATAGTCTGAAAAATAAAACAAGATTCTTCTCAAATATAAAAGCGGATATTTTCCAAAATGTAAAAAATATTTTGAAAATGCCATATAAACTCATCTATAAGATTTTTTTATTAGACACAGTCTAAATTCTTTACAAAAATGAGTATGCTTGCCCTTTCACTGTCATAATTTTTATTTAGTTTTTTTTATGATCCACTTGGAAGCAAACCTGATAAGTTTGATCCTTAAAAATGTAGAAGAGACCAGCTTTTATAAAAAAAAAGTAAATACAGTATCACAATTAACTTGTTAAAAAAACAAAAAAATGCAATAAATTTCATTTTTTCCTTGCTGACCTTGACCTCCATAAAGTAGTTTCAAATCTATTGACCTTGACCTCTGTAAAGTAGTTTCAAATCTACTGACCTTGACCTCTGTAAAGTATTTTAAAATATACTGACCTTGACCTCTATAAAGTACTTTCAAATCTACCGACATTGACCTGTGTAAAGTAGTTTCAAATCTACAATGTACACAGAGCTTTAACAATTATAACAAAGTTCAATAACTCTTACCCTATCAATCATAAGGCTCAGTGACCTTTCAGCATGACCTATAAGCCTCATACAATGATGTATTCTACCAGGTCCTAAACGACCTTGAGCTATCTCAAATCCGCGACCTTCACCCAGTAACATGTATGAAGCAGGGACCCGTACATTCTCAAATAGTACTTCTGCATGGCCAGCTAAAACAATAAGAAATGAAAATTGTATATTATTATTTTCTTTTGTTTATGTTTTGACATCAGTATAAACAGGTATGGAAGACATCTGATATATGTTTCCTTAATATTCAATTTGGCATAACAACCATGGTATAACAAAGTGTGGCATAACCACTATTGTATAACCAAGTTTGCCATAAAAAACTATTGTAAACCCAAGAATGTAATAAACACTCTCGTATTACCAACCCATTATTGAGATATTTAATCAAATCTGTGGCCTTCTGCAGATGTTAATGCATGAAAAAGGTGCATTAGCATTATTCTAAAAAAGTTTACCTTATTCAGTTATTTCACTATTTGTTTTATGTACAAGAAACCCGGTTTCACAATGCTTTAATGTGATGTCATTAAACAGTTGTCATTGACAGTAAAATTACAAGGACAGTCAATTCTGCAAGATCTTTTATTAAGTTATGCTCTGACTCACTCATACATGTTTTTTAAAAATGTGCAACAATGCTTCTTTAGTTGTTGTTATGTCAGAAAATATGACAGCAAAATGACCTTGAACTTGTCAAAATTACATGAATCCTTCATACAACAGATTATATACACTAAATACAGTATGCCACTAGTCCTAAATGATATATCTAATAATATATTCCAGCAATATAGAATATAATCCAATACCTGGAGAATCCTCGTAACCAAACACACTTAAAGGTCGTATAATCTTGACCCCTGGTGCATCCATGGGAACAAGTATCATACTCTGTTGTTTATGTGTAGATGCCTTTGTATCAGTTTTACCCATGAATATACATATCTTACATTTAGGGTGCATGGCTCCTACAAACAAACATATAATTCTTATAAATATTTACATTGAGGATATTAAATGAATGTGGATCTAATACTAAATTTATTGAACTTGTTAAATAAAACAATATCATGCTTGCCTCTAAAATTATTGAGTAAGTTGAATAAATCACATTATGCTAGCTTCTGGCAATATTGTTTTAATTTCAACGAGATCAATAAATTTAATATTGAATCTACACAAATAAAATATCCTTTTATCACATATCCAAAATAAGATCAGTTAACAGTAAAAAACAAGATTGCATTTGTGAAAAATGCTATGCCACCACATTAGTACATCACTACAGAAGTAGATTTTTTTGTTTCTATACAATTGAATTTTGCCATAATGCAGTTGTGTCTAGTGAATATGGGTGTCAAGGTCACATTTCAGCATTATGTAACGCAAATGATGCCATGTTAAATTGTTATTACACTGGTGTAATGTTGTTTTTATTAAATAGCTTTATTGCACTTCTGCGCTGTGTTTTATGTGATAAAATACAATTAACCCTTAGCCTGCTGGCAGCAACAAATTCTGCAGATGCCATAAGTACAGACCAACATCAGCTTGAACATCTATGCCTTCTGATCATGGTCTGCACTGTTTGCTATCAAATGAGCTTTAAACTTCCTTTACAATTGTGCTTTCATAAGTAATGTTTAAACTTCATAAGTGGTTTTATATGTTTAGACCTTCCACCGTAAAAACATCCATTTATATTCTAATACATGTAATAAAGTTACATATGATATATATTACCTGATGTCCACCATTTCGTACCATTGATCACATAAAAATCTCCATCTCTTTCAATAGAAGATTGAATATTGGTGGCATCTGAAGAGGCAACCTAAAGTTACGGAAAAATAAAATCTGATGCGATTTCATGTAAATATAAAACATCTACCTTTATATACTTCCAATTGGTAAAAACCAACAATCGATCTCACTAAATATTATTATGTCTTTATTTTTAGATCTAAATATGTGACAAGAGAATCTTAATAGCACTGAATCACTCACCTAAGAAAGTAGTAACAAATATCATGGTTAAGAAGTTTAACAAAAGTTTTCTTTTTTTTCGTTATTCAAGCTCTTTCAGCCATCTTGCTTAATGGTTCAAACAGTTTTGTTTGTTCTTATGTGTTCTTTTGTTTGGTTGGGTTTTTTTTTGTATACATGGATTACCACTTCTGAGAATTCCTGGTAAGTACGATCAAAATATATGAATTTTTTTAGGAAGGACATGTCATCTAAAGCTTTTTTAAAACATCTTTTAAGCTCTGGTGGCCATCTTGTTCAAAGGTTCATTGTTGACTGTCATCAAAATCTGCTTTGAGGGTTAGAAATTGATGAAAGTCTTTTTACTTTAAGTTCTGGTGACCAACTTGTTTGGCAGATTTAAACTAATTTCACTATTTTTGTAAAAGACAACCTGTATTGAGAAATTTCGCCTTGTCTGAGGATCAAACCAGCGACCTCTGGATTACTTATGTGATGCTCTTTAAGTTGAGTGAAGCAGACGGACATGATAAAAGCTGATAAAAATACCTCACCTCATGAGAACCTGATCAATGGGGTTAAGCAGACAGACATAACAAAGGTTGATAATTAAACCTCTCACGGGATAACAACCTGATGAATTGAGCAATAAAGTACAAAGTTCTAAACTTACAGCAGGTTCTGTCATTCCGAAGCAGGATCTGATCTCCCCATTTAACAATGGTGTAAGCCATTTTTGTTTCTGTTCCTCTGTACCGTACTTGACTAATACCTCCATGTTCCCTGTATCTGGTGCTGAACAGTTGAACACCTAGTAGATAAAGATTACATATCTATAATTCAATCAGTACAATAAGATGAGGTGGCCTGACGGTCAAGGTGTCTACCGCTTAAGCTATGTGTCATACCTGTGAACATAGGCCACCTTAAGCAAAGACAAGGATGGTCTTTATAGACAAGTGGTCTTTATTTGGAGGTTAATTTGTTTCATTTTATCATTGAAAGGTTATCAAGTAGCTTCATTTATTTTATTTTATCAACATGTAAATTATCTTTATTCAGAGATGGTCTTTAACACAGGTTTGACTGTATTGTGTGTATGAGCACTAGTTTAAAATAAACTAGAAATGTGTCCATAGGACACGGATGCCCCCACACACCACTGTTCTGTCAATCTTATGACTCTAGGTCAAATATTTTTTGGACTACATGTGCCACAAGTTGAAAACTAAAAATCAACAAAGGGCCATAATTCTGTTAAATTTGGTCGCAGCAAAAATTCCTACCTTTACTACCATCTACACATTAAGGTTGCTAATCCCTGGAAGTTTAAGCAAAATCTGCCATCCGGTTTAAGAGGAGTTGCGTTCACAAAATTTCTACATAGTATATAATGAAAAAAACAACAAAGGGCCATAATTCTGTTAAATTTGGTTGCAGCGAAAATTCCTTCCTTTACTGCCATCTACACATAAAGGTTGTTCATCCTTGGAAGTTTAAGCAAAATCTGCCATCCGGTTTAAGAGGAGTTGCATTCACAAAATTTCTATATAGTATATAGTGAAAAAATCAACAAAGGGCCATAATTCTGTAAAGTTTGGTCGCAGCAAAAATTCCTTCCTTTACTACCATCTTCACCTTAAGGTTGTTCATCCCTGTAAGTTTAAGCAAAATCTGCCATGCGGTTTAAGAGGAGTTGCGTTCACAAAATTTCTACATAGTACATAGTGAAAAAATCAACAAAGGGCCATAATTCTGTTAAATTTGGTCGCAGCAAAAATTCCTTCCTTTACTACCATCTACACATTAAGGTTGTTCATCCCTGTAAGTTTGAGCAAAATCTGCCATGCGGTTTAAGAGGAGTTGCGTTCACAAAATTTCTTCATTAGTATTTAGTGAAAAAATCAACAAAGGGCCATAATTCTGTTAAATTTGGTCGCAGCGAAAATTCCTTCCTTTACTACCATCTACACATTAAGGTTGTTCATCCCTGTAAGTTTAAGCAAAATCTGCCATCCGGTTTAAGAGGAGTTGCGTTCACAAGATTTCGGGACGTACGGACGGACTGACGGACTGACACTCGGACGGACAAGTGCAACGCTATATGCTCCCACTCTGTGGGGGCATAAAAACACACCTAAAAAAACAACAACAACAGCAAACAAACTACTTATATTAATGGATATAAAATAATTAAGATGAAGTCAAACAATATACAAATATTTTCAGTGTAACATGTATTTTCAACTACATGTATATAAAGTCTTACCCTGGCAATATTCAAAATCTATAGAGACCTAAGTCATTATGTGAAATCAGATATATTGTGAGTTCATAATTTATCAAAATCAACATCATTTAAAACTAATTGGCAAGGTTAAATATTCATGAATTTCTTCTTTAAGTTCATTTTAATTTTTTAATTCATATGGTAGATAATTAGCAAACATTCATTTTAAAAAAAATCTTCAATTTGTAAAATTAGTGAAATTTAATCCTTTGGAAAAATGTTTGATTTTACAGCAGTAAACGGCATGAGAACACAGTTACATAGTAAAATAGAAATTTCTTTCGCCAGAGAAACAGGACAGCCATCAGTGAAGAAAGATTGGTCAAGATATAAAATTGGTCAAGTTATAAAGTGGTCAAGCTATAAATTGGTCAAGTTATAACAAAGAATGATCCATACCTCTGGTGCTATAATATATTTTCCCATCTCCTCACAGATGAATGCATATTCTACATTAGTTAGTCCAGCCCCATACTTCATACCCGGGTCTGACTCCTTTGGCAAATACAAGTTCCATAACCCTGCTGCCTTTGCTTTAGCCTGGAAAATACGAAATACTTTTTCATAGTTACCTCCAAACAAGATATACATAAATATAATACCAATTACAGACAGTCCAATATAGCTTTATAACCTTTAAACTACTAAATTTGCATAAAATAGAACAATTCTTTCATAGTTTTACTGTTTACGAGTTTAAAATTTGTAATCAATGAAGCACGGGTTTGATCATGGAGCGAGGCAAAATTTCTCTGTGACATTTGAGTCTTCTGGTTGTTTGTCTCTGACTGCTGATTCAGAAATCATGGGAGATAAGTAGTCAATTCTGTCAAAGTCCATGTTAAGGTTATGGACCTAGGATAGTTACATACCTTCTATCATGCCCTCTCAGTAAGTATGAGAAGTTTTAACCCATTCACTTCAGTAGTTTTCAAGATACCAACTTGCATGCGAAAACATAAAGCAAAGTGGGATGTCAAAGTCAACACCAGGAGGACTACAATAGCTTTCCATATTCTTTGAATAATCAAGCTAAACAAGAGCACTGCAAGCAGTGTTAACTTTCCTCTATTAAGGGCAATAACCACTTTCAACAAAAATTCCACTTTAAAAAAGGGGCTTAACTCCAAAAATATAATTTTCACAATTATCCCCCTTGTCTCACAACTGCCCCTTGTCATGATAAACAAGTTTACCAGTTTCAAGTTGATAACTTTTTTAATGCTTGAATAACGGGCTATTTTAAGTTTTTGCATTTCGATGACAACAACAACAACAACAAAACAGGCAAGCTAAAAATAAAAATGTTAATTTCGTTACCTTAAGTTCCTCTAGTGGTTTGAATATTTTCCATCTGTCATCAGAATGGCTGTGAGCAACATACGCAGACTCTAATGGAGCTATCTCTTTCTCTATAAACTCCTTCACTTGTTTGTAGAGAGTCTTGGCACGTGGCTGAAGATTCTCCACAGATATTACCATTTCACCTAATAAAATTACAAGAGTACATGTACTAATATCTTTTTACAACTACATTATCAGCATTTACAGATGGAAACAAGACGTTAAAATACCAGGGAATCTTCTTTTAACAATCACTGGTGATAATAGGTCATAGATCTTCTGCCATTGATGGATGTTAATGTTATCAATGTTTACATACTCTTATAGATTTAAATTGATTTCATCAATATTTATCTGCTGTTTAAACATATTTATTTCCAGAATTTATACATATCAACATAATACATTTATGTTACAAGTCAAATCATATATTCAAAGGAAAGAATAAGAACCTGCTCTTAAAGATGTTAATTAATTTCAACAATATTAATTTTACCTGCACTGGCCATATTTGATGCTGCAGACGTGCTATAATTCCTTCTCCCTGACGAGGATCCTGCTGTGTTTTGATTGGTCGGTTTTATATTACTTCTTGAAGCCACCTCCCACGCCTTGTTGGCTACTTCTTTCGCATACAGGCCAACAAGTTCAGCATTCGGTGAACTAGCTTGTCCTTAAAATAAAAACATATTACATGTACATAATTATATTTTAGAAACAAATGAATTGTGGAATCAGTTCTTTTTTAGTCACAGAAAGTATTAAAGGAACTCCACTAATGTAAAAAAAAATAGTTTCAATTTCTTACATTGATGAACAACTGGGTCACTAAAAACAGACAGATAAGCAAAAGATAATTTTTGTGTTATTTTTAGCCTGATTTCAGTAAGTAAAATATTTTTCAATTTTTGCTAATTTTCACAATTAAAATAATCATTCTAGAAAAAAGGAATGAGCGAAATATCTGAAATTTTGCACACAAGTTATTTGTCTAGACCTTCATCAAATAGTATTAAATCACCAAAATATTATTTCCATTCCCATCATGTCAAAAGAACCTCAGCGGAGCCTCTTTACGTATACTGGGTGTTAAGGAAAGAAAAAGAACCACATTAAAAGTCTGGTAAGCAGTAGTCAGGTAGTCAGAAGCTTTGTCTCTTTTTCCAAGGAATATCAGGGGAAGTAACTCAAGTTATTTTAGAGTTTATCATATTAAATTCTTAACTATTTCAACTAACCATACAAGTATACTGCATATCTCTCAAATTTGTAAGACCTTAAATGGAATATTCCCTTGCACTGGCTATATCTGAGAATCTGATTTTAAAGGGACTCCACTGAGGGTTTTTTGACATGATGGGACTGAAAATATTTTTTCAAGATAAATGTACCATTTGATGTAGGTTCAGACCACTAATCTTTGTGCAAAATTTCAGATCATTCGCGCAATTCGTTTTTCCAGAATAATTATTCAAATTGTAAAAAATGACCCAAAATGAAAAGCGTTTAAACATTTTTCACTGAAATCGGGCTAAAAAGGGCATAAAAATACGATTTTCAATTTATTTCAAAGTATATTTCTTAACTATCTTTGCTTATATTTCTGTTTAATGTGCCCCAGCTCATTTATGTAAGAAATTCAAATGTTATGTTTTTAGGCTTTTAAACCTCAGTGGAGTTCCTTTAAGACTGTTGAAATTCTATGTCACTTTAAAAAAATTCTAATTTTTCACCAAATAATATGAGTCTGAAGTGACAATTAATATATATTACTGCCTTCATCACATAGTCTAAATTTTGCAGAATTTATTACTTGGTGACCAGACTTTAAACCACCGGTTAATCAACAATTTAAACTACTGTGTCCAGGAGTACTGTTTTCATATTAAAGTTTGGTTTATACACAATTCTTATATATGCATTAAGAAAATAAAAGAGTCATTCTTTAATGATGCAGTCAGTCTTTAAAATATGGGAAATAATTTTAGTAAAGTTTATTGTATCTTTAAAGTTATGAAAGAAATTTCTTACAGTTTTGCCTTTTCCTGTTTCAGTATATATCCAACAGTATCTAATTCATAAACTAGGACAACTGTCATTCTAAATGTTGACACCATATTGTGTACATCATTTTACAGTTCACATAAGATAATGTGTCAGTGTAGATGACAAAATATTTTGACTAAACATGACCTTTCTTGAAAAGGTCACAATGTCACAAATTAAACAGATCAAAATGCTGGACATTCTACTGATCAGTTTGTTAAAAGAAAAGAAAAAATATTTATTGTTACAGATTAATTAAGGAGTACATTACAATTGAACAGTAATCAAGATTTAGTCACAAAACCCTCTTTGTAATATTATTGGACTTGAAATACATTTTACATTTACATCAGTCTTTTAATTTTGGTTAATAATTCCAATTATATATTGTGTGATACAAGAAACAGTATATCTTATATTGGTCAAGAGGCATATCCTATTAAGCCATATCAACTTTTAAGACTTTGATACTTTTCTGACAATATATCTTCAGTGATCTGTACCTTGTTTTGTATACACTATCATTTCTTATCAGTTGAGCAAATTTTTTAACGACGTAGATATGTAAAGTATGTACTTCTCTTATCAAATTATCCTTGATTATATATACTTTAATCTATTTACATGTATTTCATATCAACTTAATTATGATTATCAGATGATATCAACCTAGTCATGAATAGCTTTAAACATTTATAAGCAAGAGACCTGACACTTTATCCTTGATGGCCTGCACAGACAGTCTTATATTCACTATCAGTTGTTATTGAAGTAGTAAAGTTTATAGCTTTATTAAAGGCAAAGAAACTGACACTTTAACCTGGGTGATCTGTACCATGAGTTTTAAATTCACTATCAGCTGTCATTAAGGTAGTAAAGTATAATTTATAGGTTTAAAACTAAAGAGATCTGACACTTTATCCTGGGTGACATGTACCAGGAGTTTTACGTTCACTATCAGCTGTTATCATGGTAGTAAAGTATAGTTTACAACATTTAAACCCCAGTAGCAAATCTGTATCTCTCTGAACATCTATTTATACATGTACTGACAACTATAAAATTCTAGTTTTACAACCAGTAGTAGTTCATTATCATTTTATTTTTAACACATTTTGAAAACACATTAAATAGGCTTCTGTTTTGTGACTATTGAATGATTATATTCTTTTATTAATATATTGAAATTCAAATGAGCATATGAGCAATACTGCTTCATAAGCAAGAATAACTCTAAGGGAATTTCCCTTTTCCTGCACAAGCCTTCTTATGAGAACACCCTATACATTTCAAAAGATAATTAATTTACCTCCATATTAAATGTTTAGAATTAATAATACACTAAAACTTGCATAAAGAGTAATTGTCCTTCCCTTTTATGTATCATCTCCTAATGAAGTTTATACAGAGTAAATAAAATATACAGAGTACCTAAAATTAATCACAAAACAACTTATATTAAAAAAAATCTATTTGTATATTTAAAAATAATCAATCAGTTAATTAACACTTCATAAAGAGTTATTGCCCTTCCCTTCTGTATCATCTCAATATGAAATTTAAACTGAGTAAAAGATATACAAAGTGCCCTGAAACTAATTTGAAGAAGACAACTTCCATCAAAAACAATTGATTTAGCTCTATTTTGGAAGTTTTGGAATAATTGTTAGGCATTAACATTGCATACAGAGTTATTGCCCTTCCTTTCTGCAGGGTTTTTATTTTTATCTGAGGTAACAGATGTGTAACTGAAAACAACCGAAATAACCAAGGGTCAAGGGGGATCTTTTATTCTACATGCTAAAAATACAACCAATTTCAACAGCATTTCAACCAATGATATTGATCGCCAATAATTGTTAATAATAAAAACCCAGTTTCTGTGTCATCTGAAATTTATACAAAATTACTAAAATTATACAATACCTGAAATAGCACGTTTGTAAACACCCTGTAAGATGGCAGCAAACCTGAAGAAGTTGAAGGCCACGTAGAAATCCCAGTTGTCAATAACTGGTATATTCATACGTTTACAGTACATCTCTACAAGCTGTTGTTCTGATGGTATACCCATAGCCTTCAAATCTACTCCAATAAATGCTACAATAAAAAACCAAATACATTTTCATTATTATAGAAAATCATAATATTATGTGATAAGGTTTTAATTTTAAAAGAAATCATTTATTTGAAAACATAATATTAATTTTTGTACAAAGCACACAATTTCACACAAAAAGTTATAAAATCAAATTGGTTTAAACATATTTATTTAAGATTGATTGCGAAACAAGTTATTGCAACTTATATTAATCACTTTTGAGTCCGCTTCTTGGAACCAACCAGTGCTGGTGTCATATGAAGGAACATGGTTGTGACCTGAGTAGGGCTCGAACCCATGATCTCCGGGTTGAGAGGCAGATGCCTTAACCAATAGGCTCCCGCTCCCCTTTTTATAATTTTTTTGATTTAATAAAATCAAATTAAAAATGTTATATAGTTTAAAGGTTGTATAAATGATTCATCACCATCAATATATGAACTTATGCAATTAGCATAATATCTAATAATTCTATTATTGTTTTAGTATGAGACATTGTATACATTTGTAATTAACAAAATATCAATTTCTGAATACAGAGGGTTCAGTTTTGAGGTTGTATGAAGGATTTTTATACTTTAGATTGAAGTTTGTTCAAGTGTTAACTCACATGCAAGAAATTTCATCAGATTTATTGTAACAAGTGTATTTTTATAATGGCTAATGGTTGTATTTTTACTCCAGACTTTTTAAGATTGTCTGTGACTTAAAATCACTTGCTCAGTGACTTTAAACCACTTGCCCTTTACTGCTTTGGGTCAGAACCCCAAGACTGATACTGGATTTTTTCATGTGAGGAAGCTATTAAGCTAGATTAGGTGGTTCTACTCAGGTGCAAGTTTGGGCTTGAAGTAATGCATGGAGGGGCAACTGTAGATCAAATTTGTGAATTTCGATTTTGAAATTCCTTATACTTTTTTTAATGAATTTAATTCAAGACAGGGCAAATTCATTACAATTTCAGCAGGTTACAGGTTAATAAATAGCAAGACAACAGAAAAACAGTAGCCTAAAAAGGAAATAAGCCATAGGTACATTTCTTCTTTTTGCTGAATTTTGGATACATTGATTGGTTCATGTTGAATTTCTGGTTTTTACTAACAAAAGAAGGACCTATGACATCCACTGAACATTATTTCAGGCATGAGCTGGCACCTGCATAGAACCCCTGGCTTTTACATTAACTTGCTCTATGGATTCTTCACATACACGAACACAATGTCCTTGATTGATTTCAAACCAATTTTTGTTTATGATAATTAAATTTAAATCAGGAGCCTTAAATATTCAAACATGAGTGACCCTTCACCAGAAATAAAAGAAAAAAAGCCAAAGTTACTGAAGGAGTGTTTCGATGGAACTGGATACGTAAATTAAAATGCAGCAACATGTAAATGGAATGTGCAAAGAATGGGGTTACTGATAAAGTCAACTGGAATAAACTAGGACTAGCATGCAAAAGCTTAGACATATACATGGATATGCATAAACAGAATGGAAACTTTTATGTAATTTTGTTAAGTATTCAAGGGTAGGTGTTGGCATAAAAAAGGTTACTTGGAAATATTTCGACTTACATGAAGTAGAAGGGTGACCTTTTGGTATGTAATAGCAGACAAGCATGCAAGCAAGGTCAGTAAGTGGGTCACCAATGGTGGATAATTCCCAGTCAAGCACACTTATAACATTTACAGTGTTCTTGTCAAATATCATATTGTCCAATCTGTAATAAGTACATAATTATAAAACAGGGTCTGCAACAAATTGACTTGTGTAAACAGGGTCTGAAACAAACTGACTTGTGCTAACAGAGTCTGAAACAAACTGACTTGTGTGAACAGGGTCTGAAACAAACTGACTTGTGTTTACAGAGTCTGAAACAAACTGACTTGTGTTAATAGGGTCTGAAACAAACTGACTTGTGTTTACAGAGTCTGAAACAAACTGACTTGTGTAAACATAGTCTGAAACAAACTGACTTGTGTTAACAGAGTCTGAAACAAACTGACTTGTGTAAACAGAATCTGAAACAAACCGACTTGTGTTAACATAGTCTGAAACAAACTGACTTGTGTTAACAGGGTCTGAAACAAACTGACTTGTGTTAACAGAGTCTGAAAACAAACTGACTTGTGTAAACAGGGTCTGAAACAAACTGACTTGTGTAAACAGGGTCTGAAACAAACTGACTTGTGTAAATAGGGTCTGAAACAAACTGACTTGTGTAAACAGACCAAACAAACTGACTTGTGTAAATAGGGTCTGAAACAAACTGACTTGAGTTAACAGAGTCTGAAACAAACTGACTTGTGTTAACATAGTCTGAAACAAACTGACTTGTGTTAACAGGGTCTGAAACAAACTGACTTATATGAACAGGGTCTGAAACAAACTGACTTATGTTAACAGGGTCTGAAACAAACTGACTTATATGAACAGGGTCTGAAACAATCTGACTTGAGTGAACAGGGTCTGAAACAAACTGACTTGTGTTAATAGGGTCTGAAACAAACTGACTTGTGTGAACATGGTCTGAAACAAACTGATTTGTGTAAACCGTGTCTGAAATAAAATGATAGGCTAACAAGGTCTGAAATAAGATGACTTGTGGTAACAAGGTCTGAAATAAGATGACTTGTGTTAACAAGGTCTGAAATAAGATGACTTGTGTAAACAAGGTCTGAAATAAGATGACCAACATAAGTTTACAAAATCACAGGGTCTGAAATAAACTGACTTGACTTGTGTTTACAGGGTGTGAAATAAACTGAAAATAAAAGTTTTGACAGGTTTGGATGCTAACCAAAAAGCTTTGTTTGTATATAATAGGGTTAACTGTAGTGCAAATTAGCCAGAATATGTTTTGGTTAAATATGGAGCATCTTTTCATGTAAACATGAATGTACCCCCTAGTAATAAAGAAAGTAGGGCACTGTCAAAGGAAAAAGGAAAATTTCAAACAAAAATATGGTGAAGTTATACGGAGAAATAAAAATATTTGTACAGAAAATACACAGAAATAAAAAACAGGTGAATGCTAACATCACAATCTCCTGTTAGATATAGTCACAAGAGAGAAATAAAGTCAAAGAAGTGAAGTATCAAAGTTGGCAAGATTTTCTTTCTAATAAATATCTCAAATAACCAGACTCAACTCCCTGACAAGAATACCTATAAACTGAACCCTCATACTTCAGAAGGCATTACAGAGCTTTAATATTCTGCTACCAATTAGTCAGACAATACATTGCTTACTTACATGGAAACATAGGGAAATTAGGTGGAATATAATAACATATGACCATTGTTGCTAGGTCAGAAAAGGGGTCACCAAGTGTTGACAATTCCCAATCAAGTACACCCAAAACATCAGGTCTGTGTGGGTGATAAATCAAGTTGTCTAGTCTGAAATAGCAACATTTAGTCTTGATTTTAAATGTATAACTAAAATCCAACAATCTCTTTATCAGACATACATGTAATTGTGAATGATTTGCTAAATAAAATGTAACTTTACTTTTGCTTATAACTATATACCACTTATAACGAAGCTATTGCTGTTGTCCTGACTCTTGTTCTTAAATTGGTTGTTTCTGGGATATACAATGTACAGATACTCGTATAACAATATAATGAGGTCCCCTAAATATTGTTATAAGGTGAGATTACTGTACATGTGTTGCATAACCTGAAATATCCATATACTGTAGGACAGTCCTCATTCTCAGGTAAAGGTGTTGGAAAACAATACCTCAAATATCTATGTTTTATTGTGCAAAATTCAATTTCAGATCAATTGATCCTGAAATCTTCATTTCTTATAGGTCCGAGTTAATTCTCAGCCAAATATGATCTGAACTCTCCATGTACTATGTGCAGTATTCATTCTCAGCTAAATGTCACTAGTGTTTCAATAAATTTACCTGAAATCTCCATGTACAATAGTGAAGATTTCATTCTCAGGGAATTGTGATAGAAAAATTTACCTGAAATCTCCATGTTCAATAGCGCAGCATTCATTCTCATGTAAATGTGTGAGATAACTACCTGAAATATTCATTCTCAGGTAAATATGTTCATAAACTTTACCTGAAGCCACCATGTACAATCATACAGTACTCATTCTCAGGTAAACGTGTTGGATAACTTTACCTGAAATCTCCATGTACAATAGTGCAGCGTTCATTCTCAGGTAAATGTGTAGGAATCCACTCCATAAGTTTATTCATACTCTCTATTTCTCCTGTCTTACTGGCCTCATATTGTTTTGCCCATCTTGTAAAATTTCTCATCAAATAACCTCCTGTAAGAAATATACAAGTCATCTTGATTGAAGCAATTGTAATAGTGACACTGACCCATTTGCTTGTTTCTTGCTTGAAGTAATCATTTTCAAAAAGATGTAAAAAACAAAGTTTCTAAACCCATACATAACTAAATTTAGAAAAAGGATGTCATGCAGGGCTCTGGGTTTAAAATTTAGCCTTCAGCAAAGAATTTCTTTCTGAAAACCCTACAAAATCTGAAAACCCTACAAAATTATTAATGAAAAATTTGTACAATTTTGCATAATGGAATGGAAAGAGAGAATTTGATGTTTTTTTAAATGACTATAATTCTTTGAAGTCAACATTATGTGTTTCTGCTTGATTCTCTTTTTAAACAATGAATACCACTGAACTAATTTTATTCTCATAAATTAGATTAGATAAATTTTTGCAAATATTTGAAAATTAATTTCATGGCAAATTCATAGTTATGAATGAATAAATATGTTAGCCCAAAATTGTGAGTATTTTACTTTATTCAGCAACACTTTCAATTTGAATATAAATTTAAAATGAATGCAAATTTATGAATACACAAATAATAAAAATATGCCTTCTGGACAAAAAACACAAAATTTGAGTACGATTTAAAGCTTAAGCTATATGACATGAAAATGCAAAGCAACATTATTTATCATCAGTATGGTCAGGTTACTGACCTTGTTTTCCGTAGTCTTGCAGTCCTGCTGCGTTGATATCCACTGAGTGTATCTTACATAACGTTTTCACCATCTCCTGGTATATAGCCGTTCTCTCCTCTGGCAAGTGACCCTCTAAAAGATGGTCCTGGAAAATACGGCCTGGTACATGCTCCATAATGTAGAATGGTGTCCCTATTATACTGAAACGAAATTTTTTTTATCTGAAATGTCTTCCAACTAGACAGAAAAGAGAAATAGAAAAGTCTTTTCTTATTTCAATTACATTTTATATCAAAAACAAGAGCTGTTGGTAGGACAGCATGCTTGACTAGGCATAGAATACACCCACATCAGGGTCAGGGTATATGGACATTTCCCCCCCAAGGACATTTGGCCCCACTAAAAATGCATCAAAATAATTATGATATACAACATAAACAAGAATGTATATACCTATCATCTTCAGAAAGAGCCAACATTTTAGGTACAGGTACACCATGTGGTTTCACAGCTTTCATAACTTTATATTCTCTCTCCACAGCATGAGCTGACGGCAATAACTTTCCGGGCTGAAGACAAAAAAAAAATAATGTCAAAACAATTTACTTGTAAATTTTTAACTTTTTCTGAAATATTTACATAAACTTTTATCAATATTTTTGACAAAGAAACGACCATGAGCAATTTATCAAAGTATACAACAGTTATATTTTTCTCAAAATTTAAAACCCACATATACTTTTGCCTTTAATTTTTAAAATGCAACTCACAGGTTTTTTTCTAAGCACCATATCTTTGCCTCCATATCTGATGAAGTATGTAGGATTAGACTGTCCATGAGAGAAACATCTCAATATAGGCTCCTCTATAATATACAAAAATAAATATAAGATTCAAGAGTGTTTCACCAGTGTATCCTGGTCACGGCACCAATATCGGGCTGGGTACTATAGTATAGAAAATAATGTACAACATGTTGTGTCTGGTTAATACTTCTATTCAAAACTACTATATCGTTTATATTACAAAACATACAAAGTGATGCACTCTAAAGTCATGCATACGTTGGCGTCATTTAATGGCACATGCTTATGAGCGCAATTACCGACAAAGCTCATAACTTCCAACACAATCCGAACTACAATAAATTCTGTATTAGACTAGCCCATGTCAAACACTTTGTGCAGTTTGACCGCTACATAATGAACAGGGCCAATTCTTAAAATGTTAAACTTGAGGCCGAGGTTTTTACAAAACCTGTCAAAAACAAGATATGATATATGATATTATATCTTCAGTTCTTAAAAATTTCATCTATCTATAGAACAATATCATTAAAATTATAATCGAAACATTGAGTTTACCTTTAGACTGTAACTTCAGTTGCCAATTGAGGAAACTTTTCAATTTTTTCTGGTCAAGTTGAAGACGTTTTGGTACAGTAGTTGTCCCTGGCACATATCCTCGCATTGTCAGGCCAAGCTCTTCCTCCAAATCTCTGACACCTTGATCTGGGTCCTTCACCTGATAATAACAATCTTTTTTTAAATGTCTGAAATTTTTATCTGGATCCTTAACCTTAACATTAAAATCATTTGATATTATTAGGTATTGAGGCTAATAAAGGTTTTGTTAAGATTTTAAGCAAAATTTAATTAGTTCAGGAAACTACCATTCAGTTTATCTAAACACTGTTATGTTTCTGAATAAAATAATTTACAACAACAAGAGCTGTCAGTAGGACAGCAACGCTCGACTATTCTTAGTGCTTGATAGTAAAAAAAATGCTTGATACAGTTATCTCCTCCTGTTTACAGGTTGGGGTCATGATGGTGAACAAGTGTGCAAAGTTTCAAAGCCATATGTCAATGGACTTTGAAAATATTTGAACTATTACAAAAACTTTAACGTAAATCTTAACTCGAAAAAGGGACATAATTCTGTCAAAATGCTTGATAGAGTTACCTCCTCCTGTCTACAGGTTGGGGTCATGATGGTGAACAAGTGTGCAAAGTTTCAAAGCCATATGTCAATGGACTTTGAAAATATTTGAACTGTTACAAAAACTTTAACGTAAATTCTAAGTTGAAAAGGGGCATAATTCTGTCAAAATGCTTGATAGAGTTACCACCTCCTGTCTACAGGTTGGGGTCATGATGGTGAACAAGTGTGCAAAGTTTCAAAGCCATATGTCAATGGACTTTGAAAATATTTGAACTATTACAAAAACTTTAACGTAAATTCTAAGTTATAAAAGGGGCATAATTCTGTCAAAATGCTTGATAGAGTTACCTCCTCCTGTCTACAGGTTGGGGTCATGATGGTGAACAAGTGTGCAAAGTTTCAAAGCCATATGTCAATGGACTTTGAAAATATTTGAACTATTACAAAAACTTTAACATAAGTGGTTACGCCGACGCTCGGGTGACTACAATACTAGCTCTACTTATTCTTATCGAATAGTCGAGCTTAAAATTACAGAAGGCTGTTTGGATGAGTAAAAGGGCAGGGCTTATCAGTTAGTTACAATAAACATAGGTTAATTAAATTAAGTAAGCAATTAATTACAGGGTTATTTATGCACAACAAACAAGAAGAATCATAAAGGGGTATAAATTGATAGGTGGGCTTTATTCATAAGTTATAATCATTGTTATAAGACAAAATAAAATCACTGTTTTTAATTCACTATAGACATATTAAACACAGACTGGACTCCAATGCATTGTTTTTCAGTCAAAACTGAAAGTTCTAAAAGTCTAAAAGGCTATTAGAAAACACACTGCATTAAAAAAAGAATAAAAAAAAAAAGAATTAAAATATATAGAGTTTGTTTGTTTAGTTTTACGGTGCACAAACACAATTTAGGTCATATGATGCTGCAACAGATAAAAAAGGTTTTGGCTTACCTTGGGTGTTACAAATTTAAAGCACAAGGGGTCAAAACCACCTCACCTGCTGGAAGTAAGAGATGCATAGACTCCAGTACTTTAAACCCATTTAGTCGCCTCTTACAATCACCCAGAGATAAACAGTGGCTGCAATTCTGATGACTCAACCTTTAAAGGTAACCCCTCAGCCACAATGGGGAAAAAAATATATAAAGTAAAGAAATTTGTAGGATATACATATATAGTTATAACAATGCAAATCAAACAAGATGAGTTTACCTTGATAGTTTTAATACCAAACTCTTTAGCTGCTTTTAGATTGCCTCCCATGTCATCAAGGAACACACATTGTTCACCGGGCAGATCTAACTCCTTCAATACTATCTCGTATATCTTAGGGTTAGGCTTCCGGTATCCAACTTTACATGATTCTACTACCTGTAATATCATTATTTATTACAAACTTATAAATGAAATATTGAGAAATATTGATAAAACAAAATACATATTTTCATTTTTCGTATTTTTTTTTCACTGTATAAATTTATTCTTCACTGGTGTCTTGCCGGAATACTTTCTTTTAAATTCAGCCAATACACAAACTTTCAGGGGAAGTCTTTCAAATTGTAATGTCAAAAGCCACTCATGAAATATATCTTTTCATACCACTCAATGAAAATAAATCCTGTATTTAGAAAAAAAACTTGAATATCCCCTATAATAATTATATATATATATTATGTTGCAGTAGCTTTCTAGGTTTTGTATGTGTCAGAAAATTTATATCTCGCCAGAGCAAAAATCACATCTGTTGCCTCAGATAAAAATGAAAACCCTGTGACAATAAAAGTCTTGAGTACTAATTAGTTTCAAAAAGAGGGTACAATAAGTACATGTAATTTAAATAAGTTACAAACTTGCTTCACAATCAAGCTTAAATAGAAAAAGTTTAAACTAAATATTATACCACATCAAACATGGACAGATCAAGTGGTATATAAGTCTGTTGGCTATCTAGGTTGAACCAATTATTTGTAAGTAGTGCCGTTTTCAGTCCCTCTGCTCGTACACACTTTATAGCATCTATCATCTGCGGGAATGGCGTGACTGCGAACTTGCTAAATCGTGGCATAAGATCCGACATATCCACAGACTTGCCAAGCTGTAAGATATAAAAAATTGCTTGTAATCAATTCAACACCAAGATTATTTTTCTATTACCGGTACCCTGGCTAAGTTTTGGAACTGCCAATTGTAATATTTGCTTTTATTAAATCAACATCTTGAATATTGTCTAATGAACTTGCCCAGCTTTAAAATTTGGAACAGTACATTTGTCAGAGGGATTTCAGCATCAAAATACAAAAATAATGCCGGAATTGATATATATTATTCAATTTAAAACCCAGAAGTCTGCATTATTCATTATTTTTATGAAGACTGGTTCCAGTAATAAAAATGTATAAAAAAAATAATGAGATGACTGGTACACAAATTTCTGATTATTTGCTGCATGTTTTATGTAAAAACAAAATGTCACAATCTGAACATTATATAAAGGTGTTACTTAGAAGAAGAAAGATTTTTTTTAAAGATTTGATCAGCGAAAGAAATATAATGTGCAGGCTGGTGATCAGGCAATTCCAAATTCAAATAAAGACATGCATATTATACAAATTTACTTTAATTTTTGCATGGTAAGAGGTAAAAGATTAAACAATGGGTGTAAAAATGTATAATTTCTAATAGTTACTACTTACTTCTTATATACCTGTTGTACCATGCTAATAAACTTAAAAATTAAGCATTAAAGGGACTCCACTGAGGTCTTTTGACATTTAGACACTGGAAATATTTTTTCGAGACTTGTGTGCCATTTGATGCAGATCATTTCCTAACGAAACAGTTATTTTAATGTGCAAAATAACACAAAATAATGCAAATAGGCTAAAAAAAGCACAAAAAACCTATATTCAATTTAACCCTTGGAACATTTTTTATCATATTTTGCAGATTTTTCCATTTTAAGTGCATCACTTCAACCAGTATGTAAGAATTTCAAATTTTAGGTTTATGACCTCAGTGGAACTCCTTTGCAGTAAAAAAAAATATATATATATATATTTAGTTTTACTCAACCTGATTGGAGCACTCTTCACTGAAAACTTTAGCAAATTCGGACAAGTTAAGACGCCCTTCCTCCATTCTTGTCCATGCTCCATTAGTTCTGTCAGAAAGAATCGTCTTCAATATCAACCCATCAGGTAAATTATTTTGCCTTTCAAAGTCTGTGAAAAACAATAGCACAGTATGAAGTGTTAAGGCTCTACTGTAAAGAGTTACAAGTTAAAAGGGGACATAACTCCAAAAATATTACTTTCAGAATTAAGCCCCTTGTCTAACAAGAGCTGTCCGTAAGACAGCGCGCTCGACTTTTTTATTGCTTGCCAATAAAAAAAGTTTTTGCAGTAAAAGGCAATACAAGAATCTCTGTATTTTTAAAGTGAACTAGTTGTTTGATACCCTTGAATATTACAGCAATGTTTATATGACATAATTTATGGTAAAGTGAACAAGTGGATAGGAATGAATTTTTTTAGATTTTTTAAGTTTTTTAGTGCTTGCCTATAATACAAAACATTGACAGTTAAGGGCCATAATTCAAATAAAATCTTTGACAGAATTACCTTCTCCTGGACATGTTTGGGAATCATGATTGTAAACAAGTATTCCAACTTTCAAATTAATATCTCAAACAGTTCAGTCAAAAAGTGGACTGGTACTAAAAACTTAACCAAGATTCTTAGTCGATAAAAGGCCTTAATTTTTAAAACAAATCCTTGACAGAGTTACCTTCTCTTGCGTACAGATGGGGGTAATGATGTGAAATAGCATTAAAAGTTTCAAAGCAATATCTCAAAGGGTTAAGGCAATAAGTGGATTTTACCCATATTCAATGTATTTTCTAAGTCAAAAAGGGGCATAATTCTGTCAAAAACCTTGACAGAGTTATGTCCTCTTGTCTGTTGATGAAGGTCGTGATGGTAAACAAGTATGGTCAGTTTCAAAGCAATACCTCCAATGGTTTTGAAATAAAGTGAGGTGGTACAAAAAACTTAACCAAGCTCAATACACTTTCTAAGTCAAAAAAGGGCCATAATTCTGTCAAAAACCTTGACAGAGTTATGTACTCTTGTCTGTAGATGGAGGTTATGATGGTGAACAAGTATGGTAAGTTTCAAAGCCATACTTGTAATACTTCTGAAATAAAGTGGGGTGGTACGAAAAACTTAACCAAGGTGTGACGCCAACGCCGACGCCGGGGCGAGTAGGATAGCTCCCCTTTTCATAGAAAAGTCGAGCTAAAAACTGCACCTTGTCATGATAAGCAAGTATCGCTTTTTGGCAATAGTGAATTAGCATTTTGTATTGAAGTTAAAATATTACTTTGTTTACATTTCGCTACTTTTATAACAAATTTTTTCATATCTTTTCCAGGTAACATGTATCTAACATCCTAAAAACCATTATTTAAACATTATTAAGTTCATATTCTAAAGAAGAAGAAATATTGAAATATTGATCCTAACCTTGAAATATTAGCATTGGAGAAGGCAAGATAACTCCTCCCATATCAAAGATAACTGCCCTTGTCTCTGTCTTTCCAGATGCTGCAGTGGTAAGACATGCAGGCATGCCCCTCTGCTGGGCACGTAAATGTTGCCATGGTAACATTCTGAAAAAGGCAGCTGGTGGCCGTAACATACTGGAATTCAAAAAGAAGTTTCCTCCGTTGGTGTTTTAAATTCCATGTCCTTCAAATATTAATAACACTTGATTAATGAGATAAAATAACTTCTTTTTCTATTATATCACTCTAAAATTCTGAAGAATTAGATCCTCAACATATCTATTTCCTTAATATCAGTGATTTTTTTTGCAATTTTCAAAACAACCTATGGCTTTCTTAAGGGGAAAATATAGCCCGATAAATCAGAAAACGGGAAATCAAATACAAAATGTACATTTTATAAAATTTTTAACTTCATTTCACTTTAACATGCATGGTACATAGCAGAGGATATCTATAGGAATAGCTTTATCTTCTACCTGATATTAGTCAGATGCTTTTAAGTCATGGTTCTGGTGAAAAATGTACACAGGGCATTTTAGGGGAAAATATTAGCATTTTAGGGGAAAATACACCTATTTTTGGCTAGGGGCAAAAGCCTTTAACCCATTACTTCATGAGCATTTTGTGAAAAATGGCTGTTTTCATTGAAAAGTCTCCCGTTTCAAGTTCAAATTGCTACAATACTATAAAAACTGCTTCAACACTAATCAAACTTGGCACAAATGTTGACTGGACAATTGCCCTTGCAACAACATGCTCAGACTTAAATTTTCTGTTACCATGGCAACGAGGGGACATCTCAAAATTGCCAAAAATCACTATTTTGCGTTGATTTTTTCCATCATAATTGATTTCAAAGTGCTGCAACTTCTCAATGGATTGAGATAGAGTCAAATGCTTTTCAGCGTTGATTACACGTTACCTTATGATCAATCTGAGGTCATTTATGGCCTCTCACAAGTCCAAAAAATTTCTTGGCGATGAGGGGGACTCCGCCCCCCTTCAAACCCCCCAAACAGAAGGGGGCACATCCCCCTTCTGGCAACCCCCTGATGTATCTTTTGGTTGGGGGGCCGCGCCGAAAAAGTGGTCACTTTTTTTAACAACATTTCTCAAACAAAAACAAGTGTTGGGGGTCTAAATAAGGCATTTTTTCACCATTTGAGACAACAAAAAAGGGGGGGGGGTGAAAAAGGCGTTAAAAGGCGTGTATATGAAGTAATGGGTTAATCAGCTGTAAAATACATGAAAAAATTACTGAATATATGGTATCAGTCTTTATTATATCACTATATATCAAACAGTTCAAACAGTTCTATAGGAATTTGGATTTAAACCTTCTCTAGGAATTAACAACAATTTTCTTTCACTTTGAAAAAATTAAATAAAGAGAAGGCAAACATTTCAGACAAGTTTTGAATTTTTTAATATTATTATAGGAGGAATTGTTTCTCGTGCATGACTAATTATTACTAAAACTGCAATTTCCTGGATTAGACCCAATATCAATATTTTATACAGACATATACTACAAATATGGAATGACCCCAGGGTCGAATCTAGGATATAAACACTTGACATGCTTGAAAAGGCAAATCTTTACAGGTGCAAACAAAAATGGATATGTGTCAGTGATGCTCTGAGGCTTGGGTATGTGACAGGGTATAATTTTTTTTAATCATCTGATTGTCCTGGCCTGGCAGGAATTTTTAAAATAATTATTTTTGGAAGATCTGTGTTCAAGGTTACAATCAACCAGTGCATTACATTATTAATAATAAACTGGGAATGATGCCCACCTATCACTGGCAATCATGACTGTGCAATCACAAATATTAAATAAGCACAGATTAATCACAACCCCTCAGCCCCCAGGGAATGGAGAACTGTATTTTTGACTTATGGATTTCTTAAATCAAGATATTAAAGACCTTTCCCTGCAGACACAGTCAGATGTTACACTTAAACCTGGCACTACGATTTGGACAAACCCTCAGCATTTTTGGTGCCAAAATAAAACCACTGTATTGAACCATGACCATGGTAGTGCCAGACGCATAAATGAAAAAGTTGGCCAACTTCCCTCACCTTTCAACAAGGTTTGGTATGCTATACTCCCAATGTATGAATACCCAACGACTTAACAGTTTGACAGTTTAATTATACATCTATATGTTCACATCTATTGTAAAAATTAAATTAGTTAAGATTTAATGTTTTCTGTCTGAAATTTGGCAGTTTCATGACTAAGGATTAAATCTGAATAATAACATAAGGTTTAGAATTAGGGGTTGTGTTATGTTAGGCCAGAATTTGTTAGTGATTAATTAAAACTGTTAATCAGAAAATTCTACATGTTACTAAGCTCTGGGGTAAAGAAAAACCATACAGTACCAGGAAATCAAGCTGTCATAATTTTAACTATCATTAAAATTATAAATAGTTGTGACAGAATTTACACATCTAAATAAATAAGAAAATATTTCATATCAAATACATTAATATATATGTAATGACAAGACAAGATAAATTCTCAAATTGTCAAAAAGTAACTGTTTACTTGTAAACTCAGGCCAACCAGGTCGTTTTCTAGACCGGTGTCTCCATAAATTCTAACAATCGTTACATTGACTATTCCAATATGGCGGCGCCCATGATTTTAATTTAACACTTTCATAAAAATCTTATTTTAGCAAATAAACAGCACTTACAAAAATGAAACTGGTATATTTATTTAAGTTTTTATTTCTTACAATAAATAGATGATATATTTAATCTTTTTATTTCATGACACTTCAAATTTATCTCAGAAAGGTTTTAGAATCAACATATTTTTTTTTCATAAGTTTATCTGTGATATGCAGGCTCCATAACCTCTGATCCCCTTTCACAATTCTAGTTTGCTTAGTTCCGACCATTGTTTTCTAATTAAAGGCACACACTTTCTCTTACTTGGGGACCATACGCCGCTTTTCATGTAATGGCATGAGTGTCAAATTGAATGTTGCATGATAACCGCCATATGAACACATCTGCGGATAATTTCAACATTTTTATGTTTTAATGTTTAATCCTGCATAAGCGGGTGCTGGGGGGCATGAGTCTGCAACATTTTCAATATTGTTGTTTTGGACTTCCATCAGGGGAAAATGATTCTTATTTTCTCTATTTTCTTGCATACATGTGTAAGTGGCCACTATAACCTAGTTTCTCCTGAAAACTTTAAATAATATGAAAAAGGCAAAGCCTCAAAGCGAGCTCGATGTACTTTTAACGTGAAAAAGTATGAAATAATTGCTCATTTTTATTTCAAATGCAGTGACGAGTGCGTGTGACGTCACACGTACTGTGTTAAATATGGCTGCGCCCCTGTCGTTAAATGAATAACGAGTTTTGAAAACGTTGATAAAACTTTGTTTGTTTATTTTATTTCACTCTATAATTTTTCAAGCAAAATAAAGATTATTAAAAGTGAAATAAATGTAAAACTTAAAACATTTGCAACATTAAAATAGCGTACTTGATTTGATTGTTTTGCACGTGCTGTTTGGCGCTACAATGTGACGTCATGTAAACAATACTTTTAACGTCTGTACAGTGTTAATGACTGAATAAAAGATATTGGTGTTCGGATTCATTTATTTAGTTAGACCATTTTCTTTCATTCTAGATAGTTTTCACAACAAAATTCGACAAAAAATTGTTTTTAGTTATCAGATTTTTCAAACAAAATGGCGCCTTCAATTTTCATTTTACATTTTCCGTTTTAAAACTGTCATTCGATATTTTATACACAGCTTCCTTTATTCTGGTTCCCTGTCCAATTATGGTTCCCATAGACGTGCGCGGGTGACCAGTCTACACATCCGTTATCAGTCAGAATTCCTCATTTTTTATCATTATCTTTAAATACGAAAAGTTGCGATGTGTCCAATTCGGTTTTTCGGACGAAAGTTTTCAAAACCATCACTTAGCAGGTACTCGCGTTACCGTAAAGCTCGCTTTGTGAGCAGGCCCTTTGGGCCAGCTCGTCGAGCTCGCTATAAAGCTACTTCCAGACTAATCATCTTTACAACTTACAAGACATTTCACACTATAGAATTTTCTCTCACACAGCCTGTAGGGACAAGTGGAAATGTTAAGAAATTTACTATATAAATGTCATATGGATAAATCAAGAAATGCTTCTGTTCAGATAAAAAGTTTAAAACTGTTAATTGTCAAGTAAGTCAAAGTTCAATTTTGCAGGAAAAGCAAGCAAAACGGGGGCCAGGCCTTTGACTTCCCTATATGATACTGTAAAATGTTTAATGTTTTCATGCTTAATGTTTTCTAAAGGTGAAATGATTATTCATGATCTACCTTGTAGATGGATGGATTTTTATATTTTTTACTGCAAAGTGAAAATGATGGTAAAATCACAAAAGAATGTTAACTCATAATAATATGCTATTGCGCTAACACAAACAGATTTGAACTATGTGTTTTCATGTTTTTTTATGGTATATTTAATACATTTTTAAATCTTATTATTTATGTTACATTAACATCTTTCAAATAGAAGTTTAACAAGGTATAAACTGACTGTCAGTCTTAACTTCCTATATGAATATGGTTTGACTTAACTCAGAGTTTAATTGAAATTTTGGATGCTTTTTTTCAGGTTTGTTTGTCAAACAACCCTAGTAAGCCATGTTTTGTGCTGTACTTTAAAGGGGTAACATTGATGTTAGACTGTGGCCTTGATCTCACACAGATTCTCAGCTTTCTACCTTTACCTTTAGTTTGTGGGTAAGTTATCAATCTCATCACAGCTATTACAACCTTCACTCTCCTGAATTGGAGGAAGAAAATGCTATGATAGATTAAATCCTTAAAATTCATGTGGGACATATGACAAGCATCTGCAAACTTGATAAGCGTTCTCTGGTGGGCATCGAACAATCTAGCTTTGTTTTAATATCACACATATACCAGGGCAAAAACACCATTTTTGGGGAAGGGGCCTCAGCCTTTTTCTTGGGGAAAATATGCGTGATTTTGGCATGCTTTTGGAAAAGGGGTCTCAAATTTAAAACAAACTTTAAAAAAGTTCTTTAAAATAGAAAAGCAAAAAGCACTGGGAAATACTAATAAGTCCTTAATTCAATACCATCATTTAATTTTGTTCTAAATTCTATGGGAAATTTCAAAAGACTGGGGAATTTTGAGGACCAAACTGACGGAAAAAAGAGGCTAGTTTGGATGGGGAAGCAGCCTACATGTATATTCGGCCTCTACAAAGAAGGGTTTCTTGGTCCTGTACACATATATGTAATGTATGTCTCTTGTAATGTATAATTTCATACTTTCAAATGTTTATAATCATTTTGTTAATGCATTTTTCAATAACTCAACTTTTCTATGTTGTATATATAAGTTTTCTTTGTTTATATAATTCATTTGTTTGTAACGATATATATTTACATTTTGATAGAGGCTCAAAGAGAAGACTGGGCTTGCCCAACTATGTTGCCTCTTTAAATAAAGTCTTCATTATTATTATTATTTTTATTATAAGTGTTCTTAATTGATTCTTAATTGACACCCAATCATTCTATAAGCATAGTGTTTAAACCATACTGATACTGTTATTTACTGCTACATTTCAGAGTTTACAAACTGGGTCATGTATCAATGCATAAATATTTGTGTTTTGATTTTTGCCTATTTCACAATACACATGATTCACTCATCAAAAGCCAAATATAAGAAAGTTTATTTTTAAAAAACATGATATAAGTGGAATGTATTCAGTAGCAGCGAAAGCCGGCATTAAGTTTGTCTTTAAATGTGATTTCAGCAATAGACATGGGACATGTGTTTAGGGATATGTATTTCAAATTTCAAAGTTGTATACTAAAGCCTTTTCTTCTAATTGTTAAAAAGCATGTATAGGTAGTGTTTGTCACCTTCAAGTTTTTATAGGTGTTTCAATCTACATCTACTATTTCAGATCACGTTTAAGTCAGCTTTCAGACTGGTTATTGGCCACAGAGAAGTTTGGTAAACAAGGGGAAGAACTTGTAAGTTACTTCTTGTTTATTTTAATCACATTCAATATTTGTAAAATATGGAACCCCACACTGATTTTGTGACAGTTAATCAAAGAGCTAGATTTCCATTTAATGTTGTAACTGTATGAATATTTTTTAGTCCCCTACCGGTTTAACCGGAGGGGACTTTAGGTTTACCCTCCGTCCGTCTGTCTGTCCGTCTGTCTGTCAGTCCGTCCGTCCACAAAACTGGATCCCGCGATAACGCAAAAAGTACTGAAAATATTTTTATGAAACTTGATATATGGATAGATGGCAGTATGGAGATTATGCACGTCTTTTTTTTTTCTTCCTATGTTGAAAATTCTGGTTGCTATGGCAACAAATAGTCTGAAAATATGGCAAATTTAACACATAAACTGGATCCAGTGATAACTCAAAAAGTACTGAAAATATTTTTATGAAACTTGAAATATGGGTAGATGGCAGTCTGGAGATTATGCACATCTTTTCTTTTCTTCCTATGTTGAAAATTCTGGTTGCTATGGCAACAAAATAGCCTGAATTTCAAGATTTCTGATTTAAATTTTTCAGCTTTTTCACTATATGTTCTTTATTTCTTAAGGTGTTTACTTCAAACTTTAAATATAAGTTTCTGGTCATCAACCACATCATATGTGACAAGGTTTATAACTCTAGCACAAAAAATATCAGTATTACCTCCCTTGAACTTAGATTTTTTAGGGGAAAAAATGTTGTCTTTTTTAAATAACTTCTTTATTTCCTAATGTATCTACTTCAAACTTCATATATATGTTTCTTATTATCACTCGACATTTTTGAGAAGGTTAAATACTCTAGCAAGAATATTTCCAGAATTATGTCCCCCTTGAACTTAGATTTTTTTCGAGAAACTGGTATTTTCACTCCAACTTCTTCATTCCTAATAGGATTTACTTTAAAATCCCACATCGTAATAATATGACAAGGTTCACATTACTGTGATATAGACAAACTTATTTTATTATGTTTTGTGGTTGATATTTTCAAATACAGACTTCATCCTCAAATTCATTATAAATGGCAATACACAGGAGTGTATGACAATTAAAGAACTTTTTGAGGGACCGGTAGGGGACTACTGTATTGCCCGCAATACTATCAAATGCTTGTTATTCATGTATTTTCTGTTTCTGATTGTAATATGCAATAATACATTTATACATACACATGTTTATATTTGACAGAGCAAAGAGTTAAAGGAATGCAGTGGAAGGGTGTTCGTAAATGGTGTTTTAGAATTCTCTCCCCCTGAGGTATTTTGACTATAATTAAACCAATAAATTGATATTTTAAATTACTATTTATTTATATATTACAAATATTAAACAAAATTACCATTTTGGAAAGAAATAAAGCAAAGTACAGTCAAACCTGTATTTAACACCAACTCTGAATAAAGAAAACTCTTCAAATAAAGGCCACTTTTTTATAACCCTTCATTTATAAATGGAATAAAAAATAACCTCCAAATTAGTATCAAGTATTGTCTCTCCCTCACAGGTATGACTGTTTAATGCATATTTATGCCTTATAATTTCTATAGATTATTTATAGGGAAAATGGAAATATGTTGATGTTGATAATGGCTTTGCAGTACAATTAGAAGTTAAAAAAATAAAATTATTAAATTAGAATTATCAAAGTTAAAATAGAATCGATGAATTGATTTGAAAAAAATGTGATTGTTTTTACCTACCTTTTACATAATTATGTAATATGGTTAAATTTCAGTGTAGACAAGAATTGAAAAAAATGTTACAATTATTTTCTTATGTTTGACAGGCATCTTTTGTGTAATATTAATTAAATTTGTTTGTGTTTCAATTTAGACAAGGATTGTCGACCTGTCACAAGTTGATGTGATACTTTTATCTAATTCCTCGTGCATGCTGGCACTACCGTATATTACCGAGTACACCGGGTTTAAAGGATCCATATATTGTACAGATCCTACACTACAGATTGGAAAGTAAGTGTTGTTTCAACTATACAGTAATGATTTTTGTTTATTTTGGATATATGAAGGGGTGTCCGTGGCCGAGTGGTTGTAAGTCAACGACCTTAACCACTCGTTGACTTAAGGTCGTTGACTTAAAACCACTTGCCGCTCACCGCTGTGGGTTCGAATCCTAAGAGGGACTTTGGATTTTTTCATGTGATGAAGCTATCCAGCTAGCTTACAGAACGTCGGTGGTTCTACTCAGGTGCTCGTTCGTGCCTGTAATAATGCACAGACGGGCAACTGAGTTTGCGCGTTGCCAAATGACCTATACTGTGTCAGTGTGTTGTAAAACCCAAACAAACAATTTTGGATATATGATAAATGAAATATTGTAGTCATGTACATTCAATCCTAAATTTATTAAACTTGCTAAATAGAGGCTGACATATTATGATTTTATTCAACAAAGTTAGAATTAAGTATACAATTATTCAATATCCTCTATATATTTTAGACAGTATATGAAAGAGATGGTGACATATGTAGACAGAGTACCTAGAACAAAAGCTTGCAGTCTTTGGAAGAATGATAACATTATAAAGTAAGAACAATATGAACATGTGTTGTTGAAATATTTGTTGGACTTTTTCGTGTCTTTCTTTTTTCTTCGGTCATTATGGCAAAGATGAGTAAAACTTATTTATAGAACATAGCTGAATTGCTCCCTCGCATGGAGGATTTATTGTCCATTTCAGAAAATAAGCATTAAGCAGATAATGGCATATAAGTGATTTGTTAGCTTGACTGGGGCATCACACTTTGGTTCAGTATTTGAGTGTTATACGGTATCTCCAAAACTACTGATTTGAAACCTCACACACTGATTTAAAGGCATAATAGGAGGTCAATATCCAAAGCTCATATCTCTTACATGAATTTGACAAAATGATTGCCCTTTTTAAAATAAGAAAATTCTACATTATTCAAGCTCATGTTTTAATATCAAGCACTGAGAATAGTCGAGCACATTGTCCTACTGACAGCTCTTGTTTTGTTTTTGTTTTTCTCATAAATTTAAGGCAGAATTAGGGTGTTTTCCCAAAATGACAAAATTGTTTTGAATGAAAGCAAATGTTTTCTCCATATTGTTCTTTTTTTCCCCCCAAATTTTCAAAGATTATCAAACTGAAATTGCCCGATGTGATAATTTTTGCTGTTGTGAGACTTTTTTTTAAAAAAAAAAATCACCTCCAGTTAAATATAGTCACTTGGCATTAGAATCCCTATATTTGTTCTGACACATATTTGTAATTAAGATGCAAATGTTTTCTTTTCTGATATTTTAGAAGTTTACCATTGCCCCTAAGAGATGCAATTAACCCAAAGGTCTGGAAGAAATGTTACACACTACAAGATATAGAGTCCTGTCTTTCCAGGGTACAGGTTGTTGGCTTCAATGAGAAAAAAGTAAGCATATCTAAAACAACAAATTATAAAAATGTTGCGATGATGTATGAAGATATTTAGTCACCTTAGTGCAGTAACTGGGTAACTCAAATATTAATATGAGGTCAAAATACATTACAATGGGGGCAAGTAAAGAGCCTAAAAAAATGACAAATTGGAAAAAGTAATACAAAACTCAACAAAAACTTACTTTGGACACATTTTTGTGTCATATGCTCAAGTTTTATCAAAATCAAAATTTTGGCCGATTTTCATTATGTTTGAACATACTCCTTTAAAAGGAGTTAACCCATTACTGAACTAAGGTGAGGAATTATCCTGTTGTATTTTTACATTGTTTTAAATGAGTTATCTTAAATGTATATGGATCATTGTTAACTCTAGAACCATGTTAATTTTCATGAATGTTTTGTTTGAAATATTTATAATCTATTTTGCCTACCTTCAAGGGCAGATAACTCAAAAACAAGGTCTGCACTTGAAACATTTGGATTTATTTAAGTTTCTTAAAATTTAACAAATATCTGCAAGCCTGCTGCGGCCTAATTATATATATTTGATTGTTTTATTTCAGAATATATTTGGTGCATTAACAGCTACATCATGTAGTTCAGGGTACTCACTGGGTAGTTGTAACTGGGTCATACACTCTGATTATGAAAAGGTATGTACAACTGTGTGATAAAATTACTGTCGAATCTGTGAACAATGCCCACATAAGTGATAGACAAAATTGATAATGTACTATATAAAACAAGTGGTCTTTATTTGGAGGTTGCTTTATTCCATTTTAAACCGCCTCCGTGGTAGAGTTGTAAGAGTCGATGACTTCTAATCCAGTTACCTCTCTGGCGTGGGTTCGATCCCCGGGAGATGCTTTGGTAGTTTAGCGCGGAAGAAGGTAGTGTAGTACAGGTTTAACTCTCCAGGAACAATGGTTAGGAAACTACCGGCCTATATGACTGAAATACTGTTGGGAAAAGGCGTAAATTCAAGCAAACAAACAAAACAAAATATTCCATTTAATCAGTGAAGGGTTGTCAAAAACTTGCCTTTATTTGTGGGGATGTCTTTATTAAGAAGTGGCATTTAACACAGGTTTGTCTGTTAATACCAAAAGAGGGATGAGTAGAAAAGTTTCCCAGTTTTACAAATAGTTTGTGCTGACAGTATATATGTTATAGTATATGTATAAGTTATAATTAATGGTAGAATGTCAAAGTTTTTAAGAAATTAACAAATTTTATTTCTGTGTAATTTTATCAATTTTGAAGGCATTCAGCATCCAAAATTTAAGTAAAGAACATTAAATAAATAGTCAAAGTTGAGCATACCTGTGAGTTATAATGAATTTCAATTATTTAGAATTATTACATAACTTTATCAGCATATCCAAATCAATTCTGTCTGTGTATTGTATTAGAGACATTTATTTTTAAAAAAATGTCCATTTTATAATTAAGTGTAAACTATTTTTGTCATTTTCAAACAATAATAATCACCTTGCAAATAAAAAAAATATTAAAAAGTGTGTTAATTTAGCAAAGAAAACACGGTTAGTTAATGATTTCTTATTTTCAGATCTGTTATGTATCAGGGTCATCAACGCTCACCACACATCCAAAGGTATAACTTTAACATTATTCTATATTCTAGCATGGAATTTTACCTTTCCCCGTACAGTCGCTGACTTCCCACTCAATACTTATGTTAGAAATACTGCTAGGGACTTTGAATTCTTTCTTGTTAAAATTCTATTCAACTAGCTTTTGGTCGTTTTTGTGTCCGAAATAATAAATAATTTGAACCTAAGGCCTTTTTTAACCTCTTTGTGTAAAGCAGAAAAGTTCAATATGAGTTCAGAGCGCCAGTCTGACATTAAACCCAGTTAAAAAAAACAACAGAAAAAACAATGTTGATGAAATAATAAAATTATCATTCATATTGTGGAACTTATTTATATGTAACTTTAAACATAATAGCCATTAATTTATGTATTGAAATATTTATATGGTGCTTTCATTATCCTTTAGGTTTTTATAAAGGAGGAAGTCAAGGTCTCTTTTAAAACATTTAGTTTTTGAAATTTAAGTGACTGTAACTATTTGTTTTTATTTTAGCCAATAGATCAAGCGCCTCTGCGACACAGTGATGTTTTGATCATGAGTTCATTGACACAGACTCCCTTGACCAATCCTGATTCCATGATAGGAGAGTTCTGTGTTAATGCCGGTATGTTACATAATGTAGATTTGTTGTTTTTTTGTCTGATCAGAAAACTGACATATGCTGAAGGTAGTTGAGAAATCATTTTTCCTGTTGGAAATTAATAAACAAGTCTGGTGGACTATTCAGGTGGTTGGTGAAGTGAACATTAATGGTAGAAAAGTTAGCATTTGATCGTAGTAATCTTGGTACAGACTTATCATTAAGTCTCGCACTATTGAATTTCTTAAAGTAGCATGCCAAAATTTATGAATAAAATATCTGCATACATCATGGCAATAAATAAAATATTGTCAAGTGAACAAAGAAAGTAATTTATACATTGCAAATGGCATGTTTAATCCATGTAAATAACCTAATAAAGGTCAATACATGCAATAATAGTTCTTACTGCATTTGTCATGGAATAGAAATATGGCCCTTTTAACAATGGGTTATCTTTCAGCTGCGACTATAAAGAATGGAGGAAATGTCTTAGTGCCATGTTACCCATCTGGTGTGACCTACGACCTTTTTGAATGTTTGTCCGGACATTTGGATAGTTGTGGATTGAGCACAGTTCCTATGTACTTTATATCCCCAGTCTCAGACAGTACACTGGCCTACTCAAATATATTTGGAGAATGGTACGTAAATTAGATAAACATATATATATTCAGTTAAATAAGTAACTCATACATATTCAGTTAGAATTAGTTACTCATACATATTCATTTAAATTAGTTAAACATACATGTTCAGTTAAATAAGTTACACATACATATTCAGTTAAATAAGTTACTCATACATATTCAGTTAGAATTAGTTACTCATACATAATCAGTTAAATTAGTTATACATACATATTCAGTTAAATTAGTTACTCATACATATTCAGTTAAATTAGTTACATATTCAGTTAAATTAGTAACTCATACATATTCAGTTAAATTAGTTACTCATACATATTCAGTTAAATTAGTTACACATACATATTCAGTTAAATTAGTTACTCATACATATTCAGTTAAATTAGTTACACATACATATTCAGTCAAATTAGTTACTCATACATATTCAGTCAAATTAGTTACTCATACATATTCAGTTAAATTAGTTACACCTACATATTCAGTTGTGATGATAATTGTTTTCAAAGAATGGTTTGTAATATGAATTTTTATAGTTTTATACCCAACTATTTGAATAATAGGGAGAGCTATTGTACTCACCAAGGCGTCAGAGTCAATATTACACTTTGTTAAAGTTTTTGCTTACAAGTTGGTATAGCCAAAACTACTAAAGGGAATGTATTGAAACTTCACACACTTATTGGAGAGCAGAATAAAAGGTCTCTAACTAAGGAAATTCTATGTATTCCAGCTCTTGTTTTTACTACTATGCACTGTGAATAGTCAAGCATGCTTTCCTATGGACAGCTCTTGTTTTATGCTTTATGTTTTATACATTTGGTGACTTATTTGTGAAATAGTGTTAGTTTGATTATTGGAGAAAAAAACCACTTTGTGTAGATAGTGAATCATGTATGAAGATTTATTTTTATAATTCCAGGCTCTCTTCATCAAAACAGTCAAAAGTTTATTTACCAGAACCTCCATTCCCACATGCTGAGGTAAAATATAACATAATTTATTTCAACCCTGGTACATGTACATGTAGTACTGTTTAATCTTACAATGCTTAAGCTACAGTTCATTATGCTTCAGAAACACTTTTATTAGCTCAGCTATTCATAGAATAGGGAGAGCTATTTTATTCACTCAGGCATCAGTGTCACACTTCAGTTTGGTGGAATTGGTTAAAACATAACCCACTTTTTTGAGAGTATAACAGGAGGTCATTATGGATTTTGACGGAATAATTGCTGTTTTTGGCCAACAAATCTTTACATTATGCCTGCTCTTGTTTTTACTTTCAAGCAATAAGAAAGTCAAACATGCTGTGGTACTGACAGCTATCATCTTTTTTTCTTAAAATCTTTTTATTTTTGGCATTCTGTTAATAGATTACAAATGAGCCACGTGTCACGACAAAACCAACATAGTGCGTTTGCTACCAGCATGGATCCAGACCAGCCTGCGCTTCCGCACAGTCTGATCAGGATCCATGCTGTTTGCTTACCAACTCTATTACAAGTAGAGAAATTGATAGCGAACAGCATGGATCCTGATCAGACTGCGCAGATGCGCAGGCTGGTCTGGATCCATGCTGGTCGCAAACCGGTTGGTTTTGTCGTGACGCGGCTCAAATTGTTTATCATTAGCTTATTACTGAAACCACCTTTTTCTTGTGTTGCATTTTGACAAAAAGTACAGTTGTAGTGATTAAATATATTGTATGGAAGTCAAAATACTACTTTGTTTATGTTCTGCTACTTTTATGTCAAATAATTTCACATTCAGCACTTCTTTATTAGGATGATAAGCATCTTACATGCTTTAAACCATCATATAATTTTTATTAAACTCATATTTGCCTTTGTCTCTAAAGAACGAGTTTTTTTTATTGGTTTCTGAAGCAAAATATGCAAAGGAAAAATAGTAAACATTTTAACCTCTCTACGTCATGTTTTTAAAGCTCTACTTAAGAAATAATATATCCCAAACTGTGATTTTATTGCTCAATAACATCACTGTTTGGAGTTCGGATGCAGGGAATTATATCACAAGGGCGTAGCCCGAGTGATATAATGATGTGCATCCGAACGACAAACAGTGATGTTATCAAGCAATAAAATCACCGATTAGGATATATTATTTCGATTCTAACAAATCAACAAATAAATGCTGCCGCACATGATAATTAGATAAATGGCACCTGATTTGTTTCCGTACTTATTGTCAGCGCATCACATTTTTAGTGGTTGCGTCACATGTATAACGATTACGTCACATATCTAAATATAGAACGTCAGACAGTGATTTTATAGCATAATAATACACACTTTCGGTTCTTCTATGTTCAATAGGGAAAAATGCGGGTCGTGTTAGAATAAAAATTTTGCATGGCTTATGCTCACTTCCAAATTGTTTATACTGTTTGTTATTTTATTTTGCAGCTTGTTAGCCTTGGTAGACTCAGGCACTACAAAAATATCCATGGTAAGTTAAAACATGATTTACAGTGCCAAGTAAATTTATACCAAGGCTCGGCTTGTTTTATGAGAAATAAGTTAAAGTGACATTATGCCCATCCATGGGTAGATATAGAGTGAACAGGTGAAAGTCAAAATAAGTTTACATTTTCTCATAATTCCTTTCAACTTTATAATTTACTTCACATGAACGATAAATAACTCACTAAGCCCTGTGAAATGTGTGTAATTATCCATCGGAATGTATTCGTTACTTTCATTTCATAAAAAGAGTGGGGCACTCTTTTTGTATATTTAAGTAGATTTATTTTTTACCCTTATTTTTTAACATTTTCAAATATCATGTGTTGGTCAATCACCATTATAACGACCAGTTATATGAAACATGTAGTCAAATAAAGTCAATTTGACAATGAAAAAATGAGCATAATGTCACTTTAATATCACTAAATTATATTAAGTTTGATATTGAACTCCCTCAAGTTCCAAATGACTGTTTCAAAGCTTGGCAAATCCAAGTAATAGGTTTAGTATTAATCTTTTGAGAAGCTGGAAATTTATTAATTAAAGTGGCATGATGCACATCCAAGTGTAAATGATCAGTCAATTTTATATTTTACGATGCGTAAGTAAACAATACTTCACAAGACCAACAGTCACTTCTTTAAATATCATTTAGATTGTGTTGGTTTACTGTACGCTCAATTCTGAAAAAATAGTGGTGCACTCTTTTTATAATTAAGGTTGTTTTATATTGTATATAAACATTTTTTTTTAAATATCAGTTATTTGTCAATCACCATTATAATAGCCAATCTTTAGGAATATACATTTATTACTAATCAGCAAAAAAATGAGCACAATGTCATTTAAATAAAGTAGAATCATTTTCATGAAAACTGTACTTTCTTTATTGAAGTATTATTGATGAATGCTGAAAGCAAAACTAGTTTACATGCCTGGTATACATGTATTTAGGAAAACAAAGGAAATATGATAGTTATATCATTAAGACAGAAAATGAATTTGTTTTTACAACATTTGAATAATTTCAGATATGCAGAATGATTTTAAATGTCCATGTATAGTGTTTACTGGTCATCCTTCATTGAGAATGGGTGATGTCATACATTTCATAGAACTGTGGGGAAAATCAGCAACCAACACAATTATATTCACAGGTAAGTGTTAGAAATGGGGTTTTAAGTCCTACTGACTTCTGACTTTGTGAAGGTTATATGATTACTGTTCCTGATATATTAAGACCTCAGATGCTCCTCTGTACTTATTTGAAGCATGAAAAGAAGTAGAACTGCAGACTTTCCATCTGTTTGTTCAATGTGGATCCATCTGTCCTTTGAGGCATCACGTATGGATCCCTGACATATCACCAGCCATGCTGTTTAAAGCATTTAAGCACAAAGTGGTGATAATTTACATTCATGCAGTTAGCCAGAGATATGAATTTTGAGCTGAAATTAGGTCACTGTACAGCGGGCTATGGGCACCTAAATGTACACCAACCTGAGATAATAATGATAAGGCGAGGTAGCCCTCCTATTGTTGCCAGCAAAGGGCTGTCTTATATATAAAGGCCCCATGCTGTCTCTGCCTACTTTGGTGGGCTACTCTCTTTGCTTCAGTCAGAACATCAGCAGCTGGTCTGCAGGATACAAGTTTCGGTTTTCTTTTTAGCTGCTGATGTCCTGTGCCTCTCCACAACATGCATATTCGATTAGGAAGGCAGACTTTTTATGAGCTAGATTGATGGCCTTTTCAAATGAAATAATGTCTCTAGCTGGATTCAAACCCACAATTTTCATTGGCAAATGATGACAAGATCTTAACCATGTAGATATAGAGGTACAATGTATTCAAAAGTTGACAATCCAGTGATCAACATGTTGTTTTTTTCTGAACCAAGAAACTGTGTTTTTATTTGGCAATTTTCCCTGGTTTCTTAATGACTCAAAATAAGTAATTTATTATTTTATTGTCATGATAATTGTTAAATAAAACAGTGAAATGTTTTCAAATTTACTATTTCAGAGCCAGACTTCCCATATTTAGAGGCACTTGGTCCATTTCAGCCTTTACAAATGAGGGTAAGTCAGTCAGTATTTGTTTAATGAAAGAAGTAGAGGTCATGTGGAAGGGCATGCACTTCAGGACAGACAGGTCTTAGGTTCGAGTCCTGTCAAGGAAACTGCAAAATTGTTGGAGTCAGAAATTCACATGTGGGCAATTTCAAGTCCAAAATCTGACTGGTCTGTTGTTAGAAATCAGATGGATATTTAAATAAGAGCTTGTCTTTGCAGTCAGTATAAAGTCTGGCTGTGCACCCTTAAAGATTAGGTACTATTTGCAGTTGAATTGTAGTGTTTTACATTTTGAAACCTTTAAGATAATTATTGACAGTAACGAATTCAAAGCAAGGAAAGTTAGCCGTGTAAGTATTCACAATTTGTTTCCATATTGTTTCAGGTTTGTTATCGTCCAATAGACACAAGTCTGAGCTTTTCTCAAGCCAACAAACTTGTCAAAGATCTGAGACCCCAGCATCTGGTGGTTGCAGAAAGCTACACCGTGCCACCTGTCAACGTGTCACAGAGACCAGACCTGGTCATCAGCTCGGTGAGTATAGCAGAAATGTGAAGAGTGGGGACACTCATTCAATGTTTCCTTTCATATTACGAGTTAACTTACATTTTACTGGTTATCTTTGCTTGTATGTTATTGCCAGGAAAAACTGGTGGCTGGGGTGTCATTTTTCAGTTCATCTGTTTTGAAGAAAAAGCAGAGCTATTGTCATTTCTTCATCATAGTTGCATTCGTCAGCATGGAAAAAACTTTAATAAAGCCCATTATATAAACAATTTGGAACTTAGAATGCTTGCTTATCAGGACATGGCACAGTAGTTTAACTAGAGACATTATTCTGCAAGCTATATTTTTTGCCCCTTGTTAATTTCTAACAGACGAGTGTTTACAACACATGCAGTGCTCTTCTTTATTTTGGAAGAGGTTATTTTCTTGCCCTATCATACCCATGACAATGAAATCAGTATTACAGGCTCCTTGCTTGAAAGGCAGCTGTAAATCATCAACTTATAGTTTATACTTAATTTTCTTAGGTTGATTGTGTTGGTAGCTATAACCTTATTGGAACACTCTTGAATCTGTTTCTGGAACCAACCAGTACTAAACAATGAGTGTAAAGTTTCTTGCTCACAGAAACAACAGCTTGCCCTGACGGTGTTTGAACCCACACAGTCAGCAATCCATGTATTATCGGTCCGAAGCAGCCACTGGCTTTTCTACTTCTCTTTTTTTTTCAGGTGTACTGCACATTTTAACAGGCTTTGTACGGAAACAAATTTAAAAATATTTTGTTGATATTTTAGGAAAAAATTTCTTTGTTAAAGAACTGGTGCAACAATATAACAAGTCTATTAATTCATTTTTAGGAGTCTTCCCCAATTACTTATAAACAAGGGGAGGTAATCACTCTCCCTGTAAAGAGGAAGTTTGAGTGCATTGAACTGGATCCCAGCTTAGCTGCATTACTTGTACCAGTTGAAATAAGGCCGGGGTCAGCAATATCCATGGTGAATGCCTCATTGGTTGTCAAGGACAACAAATATGTTCTTGAGGTAAGTTTTTGTTTGTTAAAGAAACAATTGTAACAGAACTTCTTCACAACAAATACAGTGTATGTATATAATGTAAACTTTTATTATATCTTTGTTGGAAAGAAGATAATAGTGTTACTACTTCAAAAGTATACTGAAAATGATAAAAAGCTTATTTTGTTCACATAACATACATGTACCACTTACCTATATTTAATGTATTACTTGAATTCCCAGCTGTCTCAGTCACTATGATGTACGGGGAAATTGAATTGAGTTTTTGTGCCCCCACTTTAGTGGCGGGCATTTACATTTACCCTTGTCCGTCCGTCCGTACTTCCGTCCGTCCATACTTCCTTCCGTCTGTCCGTTCTCTTTTGTGTCGCAAGTAACTCAAAAAGTATTTGACCTAGTCATGAAACTTTACAAGAATGTTGATAAGCATGTGTAGTTGTGCACCTGGGTATTTTCATCTGGATATTTTTAGTATTTTTAGAGTTATTGCCCTTGATTTAGTAAAATATTGCAATTTTCAACTTGTGTCGCATGTTACTCAAAAAGTATTTGACCTAGAGTCATGAAACTGTACAGGAATGTTGATCAGCATGTGTTAGTTGTGCACCTGGGTATTTTCGTCTGAATTTATTTAGTATTTTTAGAGTTATTGCCCTTGACTTATAAAATTTTTGCAATTTTCAACTTGTGTGGCATGTAATTCAAAAAGGATTTGACCTAGTCATTAAACCTTACGGGAACATTGCTCAGCATATTTAGTTTTGCACCTAGGGTTTCGCGTGTGGATTTATCCAGTATTTGTAGAGTTATTTCCCTTTACTTAGTAAAAACCATTTCATTATGTTGTTATTTGTTCCTTGAGTGCTTGAGTTAGAATCAACGAACTTTACAGGAATAATGATCAACATCACTAAATTACAGGAATGATGATTCACATCACTGTGAAGCTTTGCACCTGGGACTTTGCATGTGGATTTTTTTTTCAGTTTCGTTAGTTATTGCCCTTGACTTACAGTAGTATAAATTTGGAATTTTCAACTTGTTCATGCATAGCTCAAAAAGTATTTCACTTGTAGGCCTGAAAGTTTACAAGAATGTTGGTCAGCATGTGTACTTACTCACCTTGGGGTTTGCTTGTGGATTTATTCAGTATTTGTAAAGTTCTTGCCCTTTACTTAGTAAAAGATTTTTAGTTTTCAAAAAAATATTTGACCTAGAGTCATAAGATTGACAGAACAGTGGCGCAGTGGGGGCACCCGTGTCCTATGGACACATTTCTAGTTTTACTTTCTGTTGACCCTTACTATTTTGCTCATAAATAGCTGGGAATGTTTGAATTGACTGTTGTGTTACCAAGATAATGGTGAATTTTACTGTTTGAAATTTATTTTCAGCCATTGTCTGGTCCTGAAATGAAGAAAACAAGGACTGGGAACAAGCCAGTGAAACCAAAATCATATATATTTGGTAGTCTAAATACCAAAGTGTTTGTTGATACACTCTCAAAGGTTTATTTTCATTTATGTGATTTTAGTTATCTATTAAGCATGTCTGTACAATCAGTATAAAATTTTTTGTTTAGTTTTTGCAAACCTGTAAAATAGTTGCCAACCATATAGACCTCTAGCCAAACTAAATGCTCTTGCCACTTGCCCCTAACTGCCGTGGGTTCAAATCTTCGTAGGACAGGGACTTTGGATTCTTTCATGTGAGAGAGCTATCCAGCTTGCTAACGGAACGTAGGTGGTTCTACTCAGGTGCTTGTTCATGCCTGAAATAATCCACGGAAGGGCACTTACAATGTTCCTCCACTAGTTAAGCTGGAAAGTCGTCATATGACCTATTCTGTGTTGGTGTGTTATAAAACTCAACCAAAACAAGAAGAAAAATTTCCTCTTGCATTTCAGTTTAAGACATTTTTTTTTTTAATTTCTTGTTTCTTTCCCACAAATGCCTTGCAATTTAAATGCATTGTAATAAAAATATGACAGTGTGCATGATTTAATCCTTGATACTTTGAAGTGTGTAATTTGTAGATATATGTTTAGAATTTTTTACCGTTATTGTTACAGCAAGGTATCACAGACATCAAACTGGAGGACAGCGATGATGGATCTATCATTCATTTGGTGTGTAATCATGTATATAATACGGCATATTTGTAATGTACAGTTTTGTTTGTCTAAATTGACATCTACATTTGTATTTCATCCATAACCCCAGTTGCTACTTTTCAACAACAGTATGATTTTTTTCCCTTTGTAAGATTTTACAATAAATTCAAACTGTGTAAAGCAATACATTTCAGCAGCAATCAAAATAGTTGTCTCTTAAAGGGTTGTCCTACATAGATTGTATTTTGTGTGTGTAATGTACAGTATTGTTTTGCCTATTTTGACATTTATTTCATCTATAAGCCCATTAATTACTACATACAGATCAACCTGTATATGTACAGTTTCGTTTGTCTATACAGAGCTGCCCATTGTAGAGCAATCACCTCTCTATAACAACAGTATGATTTTTTTCCCAATGTAAGATTTTATAATGAATTCAAACTATGTAAAGCAACACATCTTTGCAACAACCACAATCTTTGTCTCCAAACCAAAAGGGTGGTTGCTATACAGAGGTTGTGTTGTATTTATGAAGAAACATTTATTACAAAAATGAACTCCCATGACATGCCATGATTAACCAGTATAACATTTTCAATAATTCTTGTATGGAATCTGTTAATTGATTATATTATTGAGAATTCATCCAGAAATAGAATAATACAGTAATCTTATTGTTGTTTTGCAGCCCAATGATGACACACTTATACAAGTGGAGCAAGGGTCTACACATATCATGTGTGGTGGAGACGAAACAGTGAGGATTAAGATCAGAGATACTTTATTACAGTGCTTACAAAAATTATAACCCAGATAAACAATGCCAGTTGTTGAAAGGTTGAAATGTTTGCAGGGCTTACATTTATTGTAAAGGTGGAAATCAGAAAATTAAATTGTGCAATGTGATACAGAAGGAACATAAAAGTGAAGCTATGGTGCCGAGATGTGGGGCCAGGAAAGACCTTTGTAACATAAATAGAACTTGCTTTCCAAGGTGCAGCTTCTATCAATAAAATGTGAAAATTGTTGTATGTTTTGGTTTTGAAATAATCCTTTATTTTTTTCTCAACTCAATTTCATATATCATTGTACATTTGTGTAAATAAGTATTTATATTCATTTTGCTTGTTTTTTTAAAGTGGTGACTGATATAGAAATATAAGAAGGAAATGGTGGGCTTTCGATGACAGTGAGAATCCTTCTTAAAGTCAAACAAACAAACATATATACACTATACACTATATTCCTCTCTCAAATTGTGTCCCCTGATAGTATTTTTCTTAAGCTTGCATATGGGTACCATACTTGAGTCGGTACCATGTTTCTAAATTATAGTTTGCCTCTAGCTAAAAGGTCCATGGTTCAGTCCAAATTCCTACTTGTACTTATTTGCAAGCTAATGGTAGGTTGAATCTATCCAAGTGTCCAGCTTGTGCCTCAAATAATGCACAAAATGGCATCCGGACGTCTTTCCCCACCAGTAAAAGATTTCGAAGTCACCTCAGAGTAATAAATGAGATAAAGATAGAAATTATGATTTAACAAGGAGAAGATATCATTATCAGAAAGAAGTTAAATCTTTTCTTAATTTTACTTTCATCACAGATACATCATACATTATATAAAACAGACATACATAAAATATTGGCATTGAAGATTGGTAATTTCAAACCAAATCACTAATAAATTCAATGAATAAACATTTATCATAACACATACACAACAACTCTTATCAGCCCATTTTTTACATATCTGAAAAAGAACTGAGATTACTTTGACTATCTACCAACTATATAGCCTACTTTTGACATGAACAGCAGAATATTTCATCAAATACACAGTTTCCTGGCAACAATCGTCCCTTTTTCAATTGTCTTTCATTTTGAGGATCTTGATTAACTTTTTGTAACACGCCTTGTCATTGGGTAAATTCAAATTTACATTTTGAAATTGACCAATGATAAGGAAGGACTCGGTCTTTTACACAATGAGATCATTTCCATGCAGTTGACTTCAATGAGATTTTTCCATAGAATTGCTGGCAAGAAGATCATTTAAGATGTCCAGTCATTTTGAGAATTTCTGCTGCGAGAGACGATAATGAAACATCTGCATGGGAACTGAAAACAGACAATTTGTTTACATATATTTAATATCTAAAAAAACTTAAGTATTTTTATTACAGATTTATATAGGAAAAAATACATTTTTGAGCTTGAAATTCAATTACCATTGTCTATTTGCTATTTGTTTTTACTTTACCACAAAGTTTTGCTATAGAAAGGCATGAATGTTACTTAATAAGCATTTAGAGATATACTGTTGTTTTTTTATCACAAAAAGTTTGCTATAGAATCTATATTTTTCTTTACTTACCTTGCTGTTTTTACTAGGCTTGTGATAGTGTTGGCGAGACCTTCTCCGTTACTCTTCATTGACTCCCTATGAGACTTGTCCGTACTCACCTAAAAATGTAATTGTAACATACTTAAATTTTTAATATTCCTACATTAAGGTTTGTAAAGTGAAAATTACAGCTTACAGTTACACCTTCAAAAATAAGCGCAACATACTGACTAACCTACTGTGGCTGGTAGTGCACAGTGAAGCTATAACAGTAAAAGTTTGTTTGTAACAGGGATAAGCTTTGAAAAAATCCACATTTTCCGAGTTCCAGATAACAACTAATGAGCTGTGAAGTTTATCTGAATTTTCAGCCATATTACAGAGGTATACCTTTTGAGGAAAAAATACAACACTAGACTATGTGTTTGCTTATGAGGGGGTACAAAATTACAAACGTTTTCTTCATAAAAGCAATTTAAAATTAACAAAATTGCAGATGGACAAAATGATGCATTGAAGCATTGACAGTCATCTCCCTTGCAGTTAATATAAGTATAAATTAATATGAAGTAAAAATTACGATAAAATATAAGATACATACTAGTCTCTTGATTATCCTTAACAAAACTTTCTGTTTCTTGGCATCAGCTTTCTTTAGAGCTTTGCTGTAGTAATCCTGTAATTAAACATTGAATAACAGTAAAGTATTGCAAACATTTTATGTGTAAGAAGTCATTTGAGCTTTATTGTGAAGAGAGCTTGTAACTTTTTCTATAACCGATCTAAAGTACAATTCTAGTTCTTTTGACAATTAATAGGGAGAGCATCGGATTTTGTAATCCAGGGATCACTGGTTCAACCTTTGAGTGAAGAGAAATTTCTTTGTGACAATTGATCTCAGACATTAAGTCTAATGGTCATTTGTCTCTCACAGCTGTTTTAGAAATCATGTGGAACGAGTAGTCAGTCACTTGTTAAGAAATTGGTAGTAACCGGTAAGTTATCCAGGGAAGTCAATTTGAAGGACTGACCACTGTAGTATTACCAAAAATGTGTTAAAATTGGCATATAAACCAAGATATGAAACACTTGACTATAGTTTCAGCATAGATAGTCAAGTCACCTTACAGTTTTAAATGATTTTATAAGATGACTTATAGATTGAGGTAAAATATTACCCAATTTAAAGCTCAAATATTGAAAAACTATAATAATGTACCTTTTAACCCCTAGAAACATAAATATATACATAACTTTGACTTGAAACATATTTTGAACATGAAAATTAACATAAACTATAATATAAAATCTTCTAACCATATTTTCTGGACTCATAGCCTCCTTGTGCTCCCCACCAAACAGCTGCACCAACAAGGACAGACATTTACAAGCTGGGTCGTGGATGTCCCCATCCTCGTGTGTTAACTGTAAAATATTTAAAATTACATAAATTAAGATATAATCATTATAACAGTAGTTAGTTAACCCTTACCACACTAAAAATCTTAAATGGACTTGTCCATATCTTAATGCGGACTTAACCATTAATCATTTTAGTGGAAAATTTCAAAGTATGTACTAAATGAATAGTGAACAGTGCAGACCATGATCAGACAGGACAGACTGCATGGGTAAAATTAAGTTGCCACAAGCTAACTAAAGATTAATGTCGTGACTCGCTGGGACAAGTTTTTTGCTTGAATAATCATGTTATTTGTTTGAATAACAACAACAATGTAATGACTATTTTAAGGGGGAAAGAAAAACATAAATAGCATGTAAACGATGGTAAAAAAACATGTTAAAGTATACCAGTTGTGTAAGTAAACTTGTTAGATCTGTCAGAGCTTTGTTCTGTAACAGTAAATGTTCAGCATCCTCAGTATCCTTGCTGGCAGCCTCTCCACCCGCTTTCTTAGCCTGTAACATATATATATATACTTGTGTATTAAATATTTATCAGGTTTTAAAGTTTCTGCTGCAAAAATTATTGTTTGAGTTTTGAATAAGAATGCTTCCAAAATTTCAGTATAAAAGAAACCTGTTGGTATATTGCCTTTAAACCGAATGGCGTATGAAAGAAACCATTGCTAAATGGTTTAAACCAGTTCAAACCTTTCTTAAAATAACAATATTATACAACTATTGACTAGTGTGCAATTGAACATGATGTGATATTCACTGGCAGATGACATATTGACCGAGGCAATAGCCCAGGTCAATATGAATTTCTGCCGGTGAATATCACTATCATATTCAATGATACACTAGTCAATAATTGTTTTATTATAATGAATAAGTTATAAAAATTCCAAAAACCACAGATAGTACAACTTTATACATGATTGTACAACCTTTGCCTGTTTCGTTGAAGCGTGGGGAAAAAGACACAACAACTACGCAATGCTGTGCATACAAAAGTAATTCAAGTTTATACTAATCATTGCGGTGCAACTGTTAACTAAAATTGTAAAGTAATAATTAAACAAGGGGGCCATGATGGCCCTGAAATCGCTCACCTGTATATAGGCCCAGGGCGGGGCCAATTTTAACCCAGTTGCTTTTATTTGAACAAACTTGGTAGATGTTTCATGATAAATATCTAAGCTATAGCTGAAAGAAAATTTTTTATCCCCAGGGCTTTTATTTAAACAAACTTGGTAGTCACTCACTAAAAGATAGTTCATGCTAAATATCTAAACTCTAGCTATTTTGGGCTTTTAAAAGAATTTTTTTTACTATATACAAATAAGGAAAATCAATGACCCTCTGGGGCTTGACCCAGGGCATTTATTTGACCAAACTTGGTAGACACTGACCAGATGATATTTCATGCCAAATATTTTAGCTCTAGCTCTGACGGTTTTCTGAAAGAAGATATTTTAAGTTTTTTCTTTTGGTTGCCATGGCAACCAGAGTTCTTCTTGGAATTAAATTCTTTGAACAAATTTTAAAATTGACTACCTAAGGAACATTTCTGTGGAGTTTGGATGAAATTGGCTTAGCGGTTTATAAGGAGATGTCGTTTAAAGTAAAGTTTACGGACAGACGAACGCCAGACGAAAAGCGATGACAAAAGCTCACCATATCACTTTGTGACAGGTGAGCTAAAAAGAGGGCCATTGAACCCAAAGTGCACACTTGAAGACAAACAGTTATTTATGTAGGCAGGCTGATTTTAACAAAAGGGGCAAAGTTTGAACAGCTATGGTAGAGGACCTTTAGATGATATTACATACCAAACAAGGGCAACATTGTCGCAAAATATGCCCGTCACAAAAGCTTTTGGCAGAGATGTGGGCATTATAGATATACATATAATAGAATGATATGCTCTCGATATCTAGATATTTTATCATCTTAAGTGACCTTGACCTTTCAAGTATTAACCCACACTATAATGTCACTTGAGTTTGTACGGACAGACGGCAAAGCCAAAAGCAATATGACTCCCAAACATTTTGGGAGACATAGTTATAGATGGATATTATTGGCAAGCGTGAGATACATGGTCTAAATTAACATATATCTATATAGCAAATAATAAAAGTGTTCTAGAACAAAATACTTTTCATCATATAAATGTTTATATTAAATCACTTAGACGTTGAATAGCATTTTTTTTTTTTGCAAAGAAATATTATAAAAGAATATCCTGATATCCAGATGATACATTTCTATTGTTCTTACTTATTAACAGTGCATTGTATATGATTTACTAAATTTAAACCACCTTCGTTTAAGCAACAGCAAAAGTAAGCCTATGTTATGTAGGAAAAGATCTACACAAGAGGATTCTCATTGCCGTATAAAAGAGGAGGAGGATTGACTCCTTGTTTAGGAAGGGGAACAATTATACCACCATCAGATGGGTGGCAAGATATGTGGGATTCTGATCTAAACCATACTGTTGCTGTGACTGAGTTCAAAATGAAATAACAGGACAATGTTCCTTTTGCAATGTATCTTAAATTTTACAAAAATTAGACTTTTTACAATGAAAATCTATAAACTTTAAAAAGTCATAGTGACACCTGCCATAATGAAAAGAGCTATTTTCTATGTAAACCTATGTATTAACACATATGTTTTGCATGGAATTATTTTTTCAATGAAATTTGATCATTTTTTTTATAAAATTTTTTTTTTATTTCATTTTAACCAAAAAAGGCCAAAAAAAATTTAGGTGAATATGTACAGAAAGATGTTTAGCTAGGTTTTCAAGTTGGTGATTCGATTTATATGCTAAAATCACTTCTGATACAACTAAAATTCACTTTAAGCTTACAGTATGCTCTTGAAGAAAAATATTTTGAGTGTCCCAGTGAGATAACAGCTATATACTTCATATCTTCTTTCCAAATTAATCTTTAAGCTGACACAGTGGGTGAACGAAAATCAATATGTACATGCATGGCACAAGTCTAAATTGAAGTTGTAACATTTTTGAGAAATAGGATAATACAAGAAGTAATGGTAAGTGAATATTAATTAAAATATTTATGAAATGTTAAAAATAACAATAATAAATCAGCATTTTTCTAATTATTTATTCTTCACTTTTGACCTATCTTTAAAGCAGCTCCAATGTGGTCTAAAGCCTAAAATATAAAATTTGAAATTTTAACATTAATCAAGTGAAGCACTTTAAAATTGAAATATTTTCAAAGGATAATAAAGAGTGTGTTGAGAATTAAATTTTTTGTGTGTGATTATTAGCACAACCGTAACATTTAAAATACAAAATTGATATTAATTTTGAGAAAAGAGGGAATGATCTGAAAATACAAACAAAAGTTATTGGTCCAGACCTACATAAAATGATACACAAATTTTAAAAACAATATTTCTAGTTCAGTCTTGTCAAAAACCCTCATTGAGGCCCTTTAATATCTATCAAAATTAATACTCTTCAAATATTTGCATAATCTTGTCAATATTACAGTATAATACATTAACAAAAGATGACAAAAAGATTTTTTTCCTTTCTTTTTAAGATAAATTCACTACTGAGCTCTTCATTGAACTCTTAAGCAATGCTACAACACACTTACGAACTTTCGCTATACGTATATGCAGTATTTCGATAGAGCGGAAGTCAGTGCGCGAGCATGCGCTTTGCCATATCTCGTTCAGTTACCGCTCACGTTTTAAACTCGGTTGCTATGGAAGCGACACTAAGCGTACATGATATTTACAACTAAAATATCAGACAAACACATTAAAACAATACACAAAAACTACACATAGTTGTTTTCTATATTAATAACTGATAGTCAAACAAATATCTCAATATTCTTACCGATTTAATGTATTGTTTACATGTGATGACAGCAACGCTGTGTGTTAGATTACTTTCGGTTCAGAAAATTCAATTGTTTACCATCAAAACTCATATGTTTACCATAGGAACCATATATAGATAGAAAGCAAATTAAACAAAGGTAAAGAAAAATTGTCCGTTTCTGAACAAAAAATCGAATAAATAAATACAAAGTCTTTTTAAAAGGTCCCTTCTTTAAGTTCATTTGAAAGGGGAATAATTTGGTTGGATTTTAGACAGGGATTTATCTTTCATAGCTAGGGAATATGGCCAACTGAATTCATGCAAGCAAGTTTGTAAGTGCAACAGTCATGAGCACAGTCCTTCAATAAAACACTGTAAGCAAGAGAAAAAACATCAAGACTGAGTTTCAAAATAAACCCAGATACAAAAATCAACTGGAAAATTAGTTAAGATAAGCTGGTAACAAAAAAAACTGTTACATACAGACATGAGCTCAATTTTCTAACCTTAGAAAAACCCTGCTACATGTATATTAACTGCATAATTTTTTGTATTTGCAATCAGCATAAAGTTGATATGACAGTATTGATATCATGAGGATGATAAAAATTAGCAAATATATATATATCACAAAAAAATTGGCATGTGCTTTTTTTTATGTATATCCCCCCCCCCCCCCGACTTCAATTTTAAAGATTGAAACAATTAATTACTTTAAGCTGACAAATCCTAATCAATCTTTCACAAATATTTTTTACAAGTTGTTTAAAATGATGGAATGTAACAGGCAAAATTATGAGATTAAATACAGTATATCTTCATATAAAAATTTTTTTCCTTTCAATAAATATCATCCAAATTTAAGTTAGGGTAATGAATTTCACAATTTTCAATTTATCTATTCATTTTTATCTACGGTATATCTATGCAAGGCCAATACAATAAAGAATTTATTGAAGAAATAATTTCTTTCATATCATGTTCATATTTCAAATTCTCTAAAACCTTTCTGCGACAGTAACGTATTTAAACGTATGGTTTTTTCGTTTCTCCAAAAGCCGTCCTTATTTTTCGAAAGAACACCCAAAACGTAATAAAACGTGTCAAAATTTTCTATTCTCAAAAGCAGATGTTGTTTTGTCGTAGGAAACCCGGCAATATTTTCATCACATTATTTTGCATTACCTACTTTCAAAGCATTTTTCAAAAGATAGTAAATATAATAAATGTTTTAAGAAACAAGTTTTTTTAAAAGTACTATGTCATTTTTATAAAAATCGGTTTAAGAGTGTCACTGATCGTTTATTAATCACATTATTGGATAATAAAATTGGTAATTTAATTCTAATCAATTTTAGGTAAAGTAAGCTACTAATACTTACTTATTTCAACCATGCCTTTTTCCATTTAACCCATTACATTATATAGACGCCTTTTAACGCCTTTTTCACCCCCCCCCCTTTTTTGTTGTCTCAAATGGTGAAAAAATGCCTTATTAAGGCAACACTTGTTTTTGTTTGAGAAATGTTGTTAAAAAAAGTGACCTCTTTTTCGGCGTGGCCCCCCAACCAAAAGATACATCAGAGGGTTGCCAGAAGGGGGATGTGCCCCCTACTGTTTGGGGGGTTTGAAG